AATATTTATAATTTTAGTCTCTTCAAATTTAATAATTATTAAATATATATGTATGTATATTTATAAATTTGACTTCTTATCTTTTATATTATTTTATCTTTTTATATTAATTTATTATTTATTGATAATATATTATTTGATCTCCTAATATCATAGTAAAAATATGTTATTATTAATAGATTAAGATAGGAGTATGAATATAAATTATCTTTAAATTCGAATCATATAACTATATATCAAAACATATATATATAAAATAAAAAATATATTAATCTTATAAGAATAAAATATTTTAGATAATAAATTATATATTTTATAATAATTAATACTTTAATCATATCTAACCCAATAATTAGATATTATTGTCATAATTTATATTGAAAGGATTTAAAGGAAAAAATTATTTCTAAAAATGTATTAATGCGGAAATTTTAATAAATATACAAATGATTAACGAATTTTTACCTTGACCTTGACTTTAATGAGTCACATGAGAGTTATGAGAATCATGAATGTCAGTGTTAATTAATTTCTACCTATACAGTTTTATATAATGTATGGACAAATGAATTTTAAAATTAATTTATTATTTTTAATTTGATATGAAAGTCTTACATGTGAGTGAATAGCTTTTAGTATCGGTACAAACAAACAAAGTATAGACAGAATGCACCAAAAGACAATCCATTAGTGAGCCGGATTTCATCAACGGTATTCACTCATGAAACCATCCTTGTCATTATTTGGCTCAAGTGGAAGCCATATGAATCAATTCGTTTTTAAATTGTTCTGGTTAAATGTTAGAATTCCAATAAAGACATTTCTAATTGAGAATTTATTTGTGGAATGAATTATACAATCAGGTTTACATTCAAGACTATAGAAAAAGAAAAACAAAAAAAAACAATTGTCATCGTTGGCACGTCAAACTTAGGGCAATGTTAATATAAGAATTGGATTACTGAAGAGGTACTGCATAGAAAATTAAAACAAACAAAAAATGTATTTGATTATTTACTGTTCAAAACTCAGTTTAAGTTATTATGTTACATTTGTTTATAAAAATTATCATTATTATTGTCATTGTTATTATTTTATAAATAAAATTAAGATACATTTGTGAAAAAAATTACATAAGTTTTTTTTTTCCTCAAAACTCTAAAAGATAGTAGAATTTCTAAATGGATGAAAAAAATAGTATTTAATGACTATTATCTTGTTTTATTTTTATACTATTTAATATCAATATATGTAGGAAAAAACTATTTATTCAAAAACTAATTTCCATTTGTTAATTAAAACTAATATAATATAAATATTTTTAATATTTACATTACATGTATAGTTATTTTAAAAATAATATCATTTTATTAGATTATGAATTTATATGTATATTTATAAATAAAATATCAAAAAATTAATACTATAAAATGTTCATTATTATGTTTGAACACCTTAATAGTTTGATTCATCACATTAAATATCATTTATTCACGTGTAACTACAAGGTTATTTTTATTCAAATAAATATTTATAAATCAGGGATAACCTAGTGATAAAATTATTTATTTATATATGCATCACAAAATATTCTCAATTTTCATATTATGAATAAATAAATCAAACATAACAAGTAAGTATGCAATAATCAAATGTATAATTTCTTAGCTTGTTGACATGACATTACACATAGACATGCATATTATATACACTTAATCCTATTTCAAAAAGACTCTTATATTGAATTTGACTTAAAAATTTACATATATCATATTATATTCCCAAATTGAAGATCTTATATAATTGAAATACATTTCCTTATCTAAGAGAGTTATTTCTTGTCATTTATCAAACTTCGTTATCTTTCACACTAAAAGTTATATCATAGAAATCTTTTTTTACTCTTACCATTGGATATTTGTTTCTATAAGGGTCCAATATATGTTAGCGAAGATAATATATATCATTTATAATTTCAAATTCAATACATTACATGGATCTCATCATATATTTCCTCCTTAAAAATCAATATATTCACATTTGTTATACATCACATGTGTAACATATAACTTATCCACATAATCAAATTTTAAAACATTCATTGAGTAAATCATTATTTTTATGCTTACAAATTTTATAGAATAAAAGGAACAAGTATACAGTTTTTTTTAAGCATTTACACATTTTCACCATCCTATAAATAGATTTCTAGATTATTCATACATATCATCATTTACTTCATTCAAGTAAATATACATGATATAAGTTCATGTTCTATATCATATACATGTACATCATATACAAGTTCATATTTGTTTTAGGGATTATTGGTTGAGCTAAAAATATACAAAAAAAAAAATCACTCATAACCTCTAGAGGTCTTTCACTTAGATGAGAAATTCTCACTTAAGTGAGAATTTGACCGTCTCAACTTTTTTTTCACTACAAACATTTTGCTTAAATAAAAAAACTCTCATTTAAGTGAAAAATAAACCAAATTTCTACTTTTACAACCTCAAATCCACAAATCAAACACAAACACATGGATCTTAGGTTAGCAAACACTTAACCTTGCCCAAAAATTGACACATACAAACAAATTATAGGGTATATGCCACACTCAAACCCCACATGTAACCCTATTATGTGAAGAGAAAATGAAGAACTTACTTTAATAAAAATTCTAATAGGGTAAAAATATTCATTCCCTCACTAAAAGTATGGTAAGTTTTACAATAGAGAAATTTACACCACTATTGAGTTTAATAAAGAAGGTTACACATAAGTTAAATATATAAAAGAATATAACACTATATTCAATCTAAAATCTTAAAGTATTTGTTTATAAATATTTCTCATTTATAAGCTACTTAATTTTCTAATCATGCACGCAATGCGAAATTTCAATTTACATGTGAATTCTCAATAATCTCCTTCCCAATTGTGATTTTCTTTTACATTAATACACTTGTTTACTAATGATGAAAATATTTCTTAACCAATAATATATTTGAGTGACTTTATTTGTATTGTTGTTTAATATTACAAGAAAACTTGTTTAGATTCTCTGTTAAAAATATTTTTTAATATAAAAATCCATAATCTATGATTTGTCATCTACTTAAATGGTACTTAATTAAGTCGGTCAACATATGAACTATCGGATATTAATATTAGATATTTTTTAATGAAGTTCATATTAAAAGATTTTACAAATGGATAAGAATCAATCATATAAAAGAATATTATATCACATTTAATACACGTTAAATTATAGACTTTTTTTTATTTAGAAATTACTGAACTTTCTTACTTATTTTAATATAAAATTTTAACTCACTCTTAGATAAAAAATAAGCTAAAAATTTTAGAGAAATATCAAATAATTTAAAGTTTAAAGATATTGTATTTTTATAAATAAAATTTTTATTTAAATTATTTTTAATAAATTTTGAAAATTTTATTCTATTTCACATGCTAAAATATCAGTGTTTAATGGATAATTCAAAATCGTCTTTTAAAAAATTATATTATAAATAATTATTTTGATATCTATGTATTAAGGAATTAACTAATAATTTGAATTTCATATACAAAATATTTATATATTATTTATTTCTGTAATTAACTATTTATTTATTCCGAATATACTCTCAGTGCTTGAAATGTTAAATAATAATAGTCTTAAAAAACATTTAATGTATGATTATTTTTAATAATATGTAATTAATTTTGTAAAAGACAAGTAATTTAGAGCCATCTTTCTCTCTAAACAACTAACACATCAGCCTCATCACGATTAATAGTACTGTTCACGAGTATTACTTTATATGAATTTATATTATATTAAATGCAAGCTATTTAATGCCAACTATTTTAATTGATTAAATTGACACTTTCACAGAAACCTGCCACCTTTAAATGATTTATTTAATTCTACTCAAGACTCATTATTACATTTTATTACAGTAGTATGCTAGAATTTTAAATCATTGTATAAAAACTATGAAATATCACAAAAGTTTAATAAGAATAAGAAGAATATAATCCAAAATTAAATGGTTAAAACAACTAATAATTAACCAGTTAATTTATGTAATTTAGACCATTACTTTTGGTCCCTACGTAAGTGACTTGATTGAAGAATTGGAAAAGAAAAAAGAAAATAGCGGGAAAAATAATCCAAAACTTGGCACATCACGAGGCGCAATTAACGCGTTGAAGCAAAGCTTTGCTTTATCTATCTCCATTTGTGTGTTTTCTTTTCTTTGTGTTTCCCCTTTTCAATCGTTTTTCATTTTTTTTTCAAATTTCAAAACACTCAAAAGGTGTAGTTAATTTCATTCTGCTTTTTTATTCTAAAACTGTTAGCGCCAAACGCTCTTAATTTCATCATTTTAATTTAAGCACACTCACTTGGTCAAACCAACCCACACTTCATACCCTGCAACGTAAATATGAATAAAAATAATAGTCAAAACCGGCATGTGACCTTAACGTTTTTGTTTTGTTTTGTTTGTAACGTCGAATTGGACCGGGCCAACCAATTTCTAGAGATAAGAATTGTAGCATAGTTTTTGAAATTTTACAAAGCCATCTTAAAAAATAAAAAAATGCACCAATAATAGTGAAGACCCACCACCTGACCAAATGTCACGCCCTGAGTGCATGGCCCTGAAGGAAAATTTAGTAGTGCCATATTTAAATGGAAAATTGGTGCTACACACTTGTAAGAAACCAAAACAAAAACCAAAGAGAGAGATAAAGATAAACCAATACTTCAAACGCCTGTTTCGCCAAACCAAAGGAAACTCCACTGCACTTTCCTCTCCCTTCTCTTCTCTTCACCACTCTTTTTCCTAAACAGGTAAAAATTTATTGAATTTATTAAAACTCCAACAACGTCCGTGTGTTGCGAGAAAAAAACATTAATCTAGGACCTAAAATTATACTCTGTCGTCACAATAATAGTTGTGAGGTCTGTAGGAACCAGAAAAAAAATGGAAGTTGCGGCGGCCAAAGCGTTGAAACCGAGCTTGCGGACAGAGTTCGTTTTCCCGCAAGCAATCTGCGACGAGATTTTGTGTTTCAACGCGAACAACATTGTCGTCGCCGAGGATTTCTCTGTCGACGACCTTCTTGACTTTTCTAACGGCGAATTCCAACTTGGAAAGGAATTCGATGTCTACGAGGAAGAGGACGACGAGGAAAAAGACAGCACATCCGGTTCCTCGCAGGACCGAACCGAAGACGACAGCAATTCCAATTCCACAGCCGCTGGTGGCGGCGGGGACTCCGACTCGGTCTTCGCCGGCGAATTGTTGGTTCCGGTAAGTTTTTTATTGTTCTTTTTTAATTTATATAAAATTATAAAATAAATAATTAAATTTATTTCGAACAAAATTGTTTCTGGAAAAAATATTTTGAAGAAACGAAAAAAATAAAAAAAATAACGTTTGGTTTGGGTTTAATTTTGAAGGCGGATGATGTGGCGGACCTGGAGTGGGTTTCTCACTTTGTAGACGATTCTCTCCCTGAGCTATCTCTATTGTACCCAGTTCGTTCCGAACAAACAAGTGTATGGGCCGAACCGGAACCTATACTGGGCCGGGCCCAAACCGCTTCAGCGACCCCCAGAAGGCGGAGAACCGGAAAGAGTAGAAAGCCCAACGCTCGTGTATTGTCTTTTACGGTGTCGCCGCCGTCTTTGTGTTCTTCGGTTTTATCTGGCTCCGTTGAGTTTAACGAGCCGGCAGTTAAAAAGCAGAGGAAAAAGGCCGAGGCCCAAAGTGGGGCCCAGTTTCTGCGACGGTGCAGCCACTGCATGGTGCAGAAAACGCCGCAGTGGAGGACCGGCCCACTGGGGCCCAAAACACTCTGCAACGCTTGTGGGGTTCGGTTCAAGTCAGGTCGGCTTTTCCCAGAGTATAGACCGGCCTGTAGCCCAACTTTCTCCGGCGATATTCACTCAAATAGCCATCGTAAGGTGTTGGAAATGAGGCGGAGAAAGGAGATCCCCGAACCGGAAACCGGTTCAGACCGGACTCAAATGGTCCCAAGTTGTTGAATTTTGCCCACAAAACTTAGATGCAATTTATTAGCTGTTTTTAATGTTGTTTTCTTATCAGAATTGAAACTTCCAAGGCAGAAATTTAATTCTGAAGGAATAACAGCATTTGAAATGGAACCGTATCTAAGTTTTGTTTGAATTGCTAGTATATTTTCTAGGGTGAAAATCGAAGAGTGGAATAGGTTAAAGAGTAGGTTTAGGTCAACGAACCGGTCTAAACCGGTTTGATATTTGTTCCATAGTGATTAGTAATTTAAATTAGTGGCAGTGATGTAGGGAGTTTAAGTGGTAAGGGACATTAGGAATGCATTGATTGTTGTATCCCATTTTCCAAGCGGAGTTTAATTAATTAATGAGATATGGTTAAGTTGAGGATTCAACTTGGGTTGATATTTTATTTGCCTCTCTTTCAAACCCACCACACTGGCTATTGAATTTTGATTGAATAATTCAGATTCTTTGAGTCTGTTTGTGTGTAATGTGTAATTGTGCAGAAAGAAGGAAAGAGAGGAAAGGTAGGGCTGAGAGTGATTGAAGCAATAAAGTAGGGTTGGCTTGATTTGAGACCATGGAAACTGTGCTACCCTAATGGACTGGTCATGTAGGATGAGGTGGACTTCTATTATTACCTCTCATCTTCCATATAAACACGTAGTATTTTAGTTACCTGAAAAAAATAATTAAGAAGTTTAATAATTGATATTACATTTATTTATATTTTACTATATTGTTTTTCAGATACCTAGTTTTCTTTTCTTTAATTTCTTTTCGTCTAATGAATTTGTATTTAAGACAAATACTAACGAAGATTATGTGGGGAGACTTTTATAGATAAATTAAGATTAACTTTGTTAAAAAAAAAAAAAAACATCCTGTGAAAAAGATTGAAAGTACTCCATCTTTTCCTTTTGTGTTTGTGGCTACATGCATCAATGATGAGTCATCTCCATGTTTAATGGTTAGGAGACATGACTTATACTTTACGAAAAATGGTGGTATTTTTTTTTCTTTTTGAACAATTTTTTATTTATTAATTTATTTAAGGACATTAATTAAAAAATAAATAAAAGAGTCTGTTGAAAAAATATCGTACTTTTTTAATTAATGTTGGGAGAAATAATAGTTAAATTCGTATTAAAAAAAATAGTCATTTATGTAACATGTTATGAATGTTTATGTCATTTTTACATTTTTGATGAATTGTTTGTGATTTTTTTATAACGAAAACAAAACAAAACCATGTCATGACCAAAACTTACGCAAATCACGTTTTATTATTATTATTATTTTTCTTTTCAACCCATTTTAAATCTACACGCAAAAAAAAAAAAATTGAATTTTACAAAGACTGTGAACCCTTACCAAAAAGGGTCACATATGCACTTATTGTGTTGATAAATAGTTGATGAGTTTGAGCTACTTTATTGTGTGGATTGGAGGTTTGTGGGTTGTTATTACTAGGTGGTCTGTGTTTGATATTATTATTCTTGGTAAAGGTGAAGGCATTCAAATTAATTAAAGGTCTTTTTAGACAAATAGTTTACAAAGTAGCTAGAATTTTATAAGTTAGTTGAAATTTACAAATCACAGATAAGTTAAGACTTGGGAAATTAAACTTTAAAAATTTAATTAATTGAATTAGATGGTTTTAATGAGATTAACCTATAAAGTTACTTGACAAACATACAATGACATGTAATGTTATATTTAGTTATTTGTTTACATATGTTTGAGTCTGTGTATGTATCATTTTCGATGTTTGAATTTACTTCTAATAATATGTAATTTTATAAATTAGAATAATATTTTTAAAATTCTATATTGTGAAGAAATCATGAAAAAAAAACTATCTTACGTATTTATCCAACTAGTAGAGATAAATATAGGAAAAAAAATACATTGTCACTCCAATTTTTGGAAATCTAATTTATTGTTATTTAGGTTTATTAAACTATTAAAATTAAAAAATGATTTATGATAAAAGTTTGATCCATATATTATTTTAGTTTCGTGAATATAATCTTGTTTCTATAATGCTTGCTACGAATTTATTATACTTTCAAAAAGATAAATTAACTTATAATAAAAATGAACAAACTAAAATCTTATAAATATGAGATAATTAAATTAATTTATAAAAAACAAAAGTCAAAACTATTGAAGAAATTTGCAGACTAAGCATGTAAATGTTGCATGAATCAACTAATTGATTCACAATAGAAATTATTATTTTACAACGGGGAGGGATGATCACATAACTTTCACATGTTTATTTGTGCTATTTTAAGTTATTTTTTAATGAAATTTTAAGGTCTGTAATAGATTGTAATTAATTGGATTTCTGTTTTTTATAATTTATAGGTTTAACAATTTTTGTTTTAGTAGTTAATGATTTTTTTTTTTATGTTATTTGTGTCAATTTGACTACCATATAGGTGTTCGTTAACTTATTCAATATTATCATATAATCTCAAATAATAAAAATAGTTAATGTTAAATCTTTGATGTTTGTATTGATATCATACATTATGTCACATGATATAAAATATACCGTTATGATAAAAGAGTAGTAGAGAATAAAAGAAAAAAAAACGAGGAACTTAAATAAAAAATAATATTACATTTAAACATCTAAAAAATGTTTAATTAATAATTTTTAATTTAGAAAGTTTTTATTTAAAAGATTTTATTTTTTATTTTTACTTCAAAACTAACTGAGGCATAAAACTTATTTAAGCCACAATTTCATAGAGTATTTTTTTTAAAGCTGATATTTAAAGAATATGAATAGGAAAGTAGAATGATGCGAAGTGTAAATAATAAAAAAAGAAATTAAAGGTTAAAGGTATTTTTTTCAATTTTATTTTATTATTACTTTTAGAGTTATATATATATATATATATATTTTAAAGTAATAATGTTGTTCATTGATATTTTACGTTAGTGCCACGTTTTAATGACTCATTTTAAAAAGAAAGACTAAATTCACATTAAAAATAATAATTTTTTAAAGTAAAAAACAAAAACAAAAAACTACTTAACCAACACTAAATGTAAAAAAAAATCACTTGTTTCAAAAATAAATATAAAAAATATTATTTATTATTTCTATTTATTTTTCTTATTATATAATGATATAATATAATAACTTATTTGAAATAGATTAAAACAAACAATGAAATGAAAATTTATTTTTGTATACTTATTTTTGAATCAGTAGATCTTATTAAGTGAAAAATTAGATAAACATATAATTTTAAATTCTATTAAAAAAAAACTAAACCAATATCAAATAAAAATGTTTGTTTGTTTTTGTGCTGATTTAATATTATATTTAAACCAAACCAAAATAAACTAATATTCTTTTAAAATTTAGTTCAAATAAACTTTTTATCCAAACTAAAACAAATTCGTTATGTACACTTATTTGGTGCACTAATTTCCCGGGTAAACCTTCAATTTTTTTTTCTACAAACTTTATAAACTTTTGGATTGAATAAAAAAATAATAACTTTGATTATATATATATATATATATATATATATATATATATGAATTTATTAAACATAAATTACATAATTTCATAAATACTTATCCACACACATAATTAATGATAATAATAAGAGTTTTTTTACACAAATTTCTTTTATCTTTTTAGATTAAAAATATTTTAAAAAAATTAATTTATTTTATGTATAAGTAAATTTAATAATTTTCATATAATTTTCCTCAATTATTAGTTTTTAGCGTTATTTACATAAAATATTATTTAAAAATGGTCATTTAATTAGGGGTTTCTTTAGTTTAATGTTATTTTAAAAAATAACTTTGTTAACCAGATTTTAATAACTGTTCATGAAATTATGAAAAAAATTAATAAATATTTAATAATTATAATGTTAAAACTATTTAAAATAGAAAGAGTGAAGATAATACCATGTTAATGAGTCAAGATAAAAATTAAAACAAAAATTCTTCAAGCGATATAATTATTACTAAAAAAATAACATTAATAACAAATTAAAATAAAACATATATTTATTTGTTTTAATTAAAAAATAATTTTTTTTTAAAATAACTATTTTAACCAAATAATTATTATCTTTTTATTTTAAAAGTAAAAAACCTAAATACTATTTTTAAAAATGATCAAACAAGTGCTTCCGAAATCCAGATGGGACAGGAAGAAGCATGTTCAAGTGGATGTAACGTTGTACATGTGAGGGAAGTAGTTGTTGGTAGGACAAAGACAACGAAGAAGCATTCTTCATTCAATGAAGAACGTGTGTTTCTGATGGATGTGCCCACAACACTTGAATTAGATTTTAAGTATATAATATAATAATATGATAAAAGAAAATACAAAGTGAAAAACATTATGCACATTACATACACTAGTTAGGGATACAATAAACTTTACCATGCACAATTTGCTCAATAAATATGTTAAGACTTTAAGTCTTTAACTAGTGATATAAAAAGTAGATTACAAATTCAAAAGTCTTTACAAATATAATCAAACGTAGAAATATTTATAAGTAACATTTGAGTTTCAATAGAAAATAATATTTAACCATATTTTATATAAATAAACAATTGAGAAATTAGTTCATAATTTATGTTAGATATTATTAAATATAATATTATTTGTATTAATCATGATATGAGTTAGTCCATATTTTTTTTGTGTTTTCCCATTATAAATACATTATTTTACATACCCCATTCTAAACTTTTCATAATTGACTTTATAACATATTATAAATTTTAAAATTACAAAATTAACATTCTCTTTTAACTCTTGAGTTATTACACATTACAATACCCAAACTTTTACTCAATTTTACAAATTCATTAATTTTAAAAGTCTTATCAATATATCAATCATATGCAAACTCTGTATTTTGTTTGTATGTTAATAATATCATCATTATATGCTTATTAGAATATCATGGAATTAGTGTTTCTAGAACCTTAAACATGTAATCAATCATAAATATTCTTTCTATCTGATTTATCACTAAAATCTTAAAAGTCAACCAATTCACCTCCATTTACCTCAATTTGCATAAACTATACACATAGTATATTTTTTACATATTTCAAGATTTTTTTGTTGTCAATTAAATGATTCTTTCTTAAATTGAATATGTATCTACTAATAAACTAATGAAAAAAACAAAGTCATGTTATTACACAAGTAACTCAAATAACCAACCAACCAACCATTTACTTGCAAAATGTTGGATAAACTTCCCTATCAGTAGCACATTTAGCTTCTAATATCAAATTAATTTTATTGCTGCAGTAACAATTAATCATACAAAATTTATTGAATACATCAATGCATATTTAATATGATTTAGAATAAACTTCATATCTATGAAATAAGTTAAATTGTTTAAGTTTATCATCTCAGTTTTGATCTTTTTATTTTCTTATTTTTAGTCACAAGATATCAACATCTTAAACATAATTTAAGATAATTTTTTCATATTTTTTTCTCCACATAGTAAAACCATAATACAAAATAAAAAAAATATTTAAATTTTAAAGTTTACCTTCATTTATGTTATATCTAAACAAATACGAAATATATTATCCATTCTTTTTAACAAGACATACAATTTAAAACATAATAAAACAAATTCCTGCATTTGACTCTTATATAATTGTAAAAAAAAAAACTTCAATTTTAAAATTGAAATAACTCATGCAATTAAACCGATATTTATCATGGTATGAGAGAAACTAACTTTAATTTTGAAATTGAAATAACTTAGGCAATTCAACCAATATCTATGATGATATTTTATAATTTGAATAGCTTTTTCGTGTAAATATTTGTGTTTAAACTTAAAATTAAAACTCGATTGCAATAAACAAATTAGACAAATTTCAATCCATTTGCTACCTTTTTCTTTGTAAACATGAAAAAATTTATTAATACAAAAATATAAATTTCTCTAATTTTGCAAGGCAGAAGTGTAAAACAGAAACAAAATCAAAGTCTATAAGCATGTTTGTTATAAACTACAGAAAACTCTTATGTATATACTAATTTTATCTCATCTTTAATGATATATATATATATATATATATATATATATAAATTATTATTTTATATTTTTAATCAACAATGTTATAAAATATAAATATTTTTTATATAATTATAAAATTAAATAATTATATTATAATAAACTCATGCCTACGACAAAAAACAAAAAACTAATAATAAATTCCACGATATATAGAGATCATAACTAAAATATCAATAAATTATATATAAAATAATTTCATATTTTTTATAACTAAAATCATTTTTTTTCTCAGACATATTTGAAGCTACATATGTGGAGACCTGAGAGATCGATCAACCCGGATTAGAATTTGGACCTGCCATCAGATCCAAAACTAAGAAACTCAAAGCCCAACCCAACCCAAAACGCAATGTGTGTCATGTATCCATTGCTGCGTTTTATGCATAATTGGTGTCTTTCTCCGTCTCCACACGTATTTCTCACTGAAATTCATGGGAATGGGAACTTAACAAAGGAAGAAGAGCAAACGATGGCGGTCACAAAAGACGAAGCTGCAACCACCGGAGCAGGAGGTGCTCAACCTCGGAATCTCATTCCCAACGGTGACCTTAATCCAAATGCAAATCCATATCCAAATACAAATCCAAATTCAAATTTTAATCCAAACCCTAACCCTAGCCCAAACCCGCCTCATACCACAAGAGGATCCAAAGGAAAATCGTGCAAGGGATGTGCCTACTACTCATCGCTTCATAAAGCCAAATCCAAAGGCCCCACGTGCGTTGGCTTCTCCAGAACACTACAGCAAGGTATCTCTGTGTTGGTTTACTATTCATATTTGGGGTTGTTCGATTTTTGCCAAAAAAATGTATCGGTAAAAGTAAAAAAGTGCATGGAATGGAATTATGTGTGTGAAAATTTTAAAAACTGTTATTGAATATCAAATATTGTATTCTCAGCAGCAAAGATAATGTTTCGATTGATTCCAAGCTATGTTGATATCCATTTAACGGAATAGTTTTTGTTTTTTGAGGACTACCTATTCCTCTACTTGTTGTTTTGATGCTGAGCAATGTATTCACGACGGAATTGTTTTTTTGTTTTGAATTGAGCTTGTAGCTGGATTGGATTTTAGTTTGTTTGTGGCAGATAGTCTGTACATGAAATCATTATAAATTGATTATGAGGGCATTTGTGTTCATAGTGGTAGTTGCTTCGGTGAAAGATAGTTCATTATATTTGTGTTCACAGTGGTGGTTGCTACAGTGAAAGATCATCTATAGCATTTTGTCGTAAAAGAGGGAGCTGGGTTAGAACTTAACAATTAAAAAGTTCATTTACACTTCAACAAGAAAAATAATTTACAACTTAATTTGTTTCCTTATCCTTTTTTTCTAACGAACTTCTATTTAAACATAATATTTATTGGAAATCTAATAATGTACGTTGATTTTCGGCCTTGTATTTTTAATATGTTTATTTTATTTCTTACTTTTCCAGTTTGTCAGTGGTACGCTCTTTGGTCAGTTACTTCTTTTTTTTTTTTTCATGGTTAACCTTCATCTAAATTTTATTCTATTATTACTATTTATTAGTACATTATTTTTTATGTTAGAATATTGTGGTTTTATGTTTTTTGAATTGTTTTTATTGTCTTATTTTCTCTGCTCATGAGAATTTAATCTTTATTTCATTATAAACCTTTAAGGTTTTGATATTGATGTTCTTATGCATATAATCAGTACCTCCTTTTGTTGTGGGAGAAACTGAGTTGGAAGCTTTAAAAGAGGGCCGCAGTCTTACAAATTTCAAGTATGCCTGTATTGGATACTCTGTTTACTTAGACAACAAAGATTCTACAGCTGACACGGAGGATAAAACAGCTAAATTGCCCTTTTGCGCCGGTCTTGAGGTTTTATATCTTGATTGTTGTATTTTATGTATTTCTAAAACTAAGTTTATCTTGTTTTATGGGTTTCTTGGGAGTTAGTACATAATTCTTGTAACATAGAGTTTCATATATCATGCAGCAAGCGACAATTTATAAGATAAAATAGAACTGCTAAACCATAGCACCACTGTTAATAGTTATGTAGAGCCCACTAAGTAATTTAGGTTTGCTCGTCTGATGAGTCTCATATAATGTTTGGGGAGCTCACATGATTTCCACCCAGTAGTGAAGAGTCTATAAGATTGTTGCTAGCAACTTTGCATTTCTCTAGATAAAATAAAATTAAAAAGTGAGGATGCGGTGATGCAGCAGTGATCAATTAAACTGTCAATGATAATGTGCTCTCAGTTTATAACACTATTAACACATGTTTCAGGTGGTTTTATCAGAGAGCGCTTCAAGTCCCTCTGTTGGCCATGTTCCTGCTACTCGTAAAACTGAAGGTAGTGAGATTCTTGGTTTGTTATTTTTATTTATAATTCTAGATTTCTGAGTCATTTTTGTTTTCTCAATCATCATTTGTTTACATGAAAAATGAATAATGGTAAATTTAAAAACCTAAGCAGATTTGGATAATTTTCTTTGATCGTGTAGATGATTAGTTTCTGTTCCCTCTTTATGTCAATGATAACATTCCCAAAATGTCAAACGTGTTATGTTGGAAGTTTATGCAAACTCATAGGGGTAGTAGGACATCTTATCTGTTGTGTATTTTTCCAACATTCTCAAGTTGTCCTCAATTATTGAAGTGATAGTAGCCGAAACAAGAGACTACAGGAGAATTAGGCATATGGGCCAGTGTAACATAAGTTAGCTGGTATAATGAATGTTTTTAAAATCGGATCGGTCAATAAATCAGTGAAGGCATGGGTTCAGGTTTAAATGTTTCACCGAGTCCAATCAGAATATTTTATATAATATAAAGTATATAAATTCATTAATAACAATATTTTTTTATAGAAAAAAAAATTACATAGTGAAAGTTGTTATCATGGTCATTGTAAGTTACAATAAAATTATAAATATATAATATAGTAGCGAGTGAAAGAATGATAATCGTGAAAGTAAGATGAGAATATAGTAAAATAACTATTATTTAAAGTCAAGTTACTCGTGTGAGATAAAAGAAGAGAAAATAAAACTAAAAATATTATATCCTTTATAAACACTATAGGTATAACAGTTAGCAGTGGCTCTTGTGTAATAAGAGAAAAGCTACTTTGACTAGTTTTTGGAAAGTTACAATTGGGAGAGAAGATGAGGCTCTTGAATTTTTGGCTCTTAACTAATAAAGATTTGTTTTTTCTTCTCTCGTGTGTCAAACCCTAGTTTGATTAATACTGAATTTATTTATCACCAAGATATGTTAAAATTCCTGAGTATCCATGTCTAGAAAAAAGAAAATGGAGTTTTTATTAGGGATGACAGAATGAGTTAGGTTAGAAAGTCCACCTTAAATGAGTGAGGAGGGTTGGTAGTTTAACTTGTCAACCTGTTTTGGCTGGACTGTTTAACCCATCAACTCGACGGAAAGGGTGGATTGACATGCTTTTAAAAGATATTTACATATTAAAAAAAAAAAAGATTATAATTAAAAATATTATATTTTGTTTGTTATAGTATTGAAATACATAAATATATTATAATATTATAATTTAAATCCTAAATACTTAGCAATGAAGCTTAAATTATATAGATTATAAATGAGTATATTAACACATAAATGTAGTGATTTTCTTAATTTATATATTTTTTTATTAATGAATAAAGACTTAAAAAATATTCATATAATTAATGGTGTATTTAATATATATATATATATATATATATATATATATATATATATATATATATATATATATATATATATATATATATATATTGATAAAGTGACTTGTCATCTTTTGTTTTTAGGGGTGGACTAGGATTTGTGCTGGCTATGAGTATAATGGGTTAGTTTGTCCGGTCCCATTTATGGCGGGATAGGCTAAAATGAAATGGGATAGCCGTACCTGTTTTGACACGTCGCTGTTATTATTAAATTAAGCTTCATTTTGTATTATTAACCTTACTTTTAATTATTATTCTAAAATTAGTATTAATGTACTTTCAGAAAACTTGACTTGAATTTGAATCTGCCTAGTAGTACCTATGCTACCTGTGGACTTTCCTAAGCTTGTAATGGGCAAATGATAGATATCCATGAATGTATCACATGGAGCACTCGGCACAATGTTGTTTACAACTCTGTGGCGGTGATTCATTCTTGTAGGGCCAGAAAAAAATGTCATTGTTTTACAATGTAGTTTTTTCCTTCTGCATGAATTTCTTCACCAAACAATTATTTCATATAAATATGATTTTATTCATGGTTCTGCTGAATATATATTTTATTAGTTAATATTCTTATATTATTTTGAGGTTAATTTTCATTTCTTTTATTTGTACAATTTACTTAATGTGTTTTTATATTTCTGGGATTTTGGTCTTGTTTATCCTGAAGATGAAAATCCTATTTCTCAACCTCGAAGGTACACCCCTCCAAATCGTACAACAGAGTTCTTGAACAGGCAAGTGGAAGTTTTCAGTATACCGAGTCAACCTTTGTTTGCACATTTATGTCTTCTAGCTACAAGAGTACTAGAAATGTAGATGAACTTATTAATTCTAAACATGCAGGTTTCAAAGAAATGCAGGCCTTGTGGCATCCGGTGTAGGCAAAAACTTGAACAGAGTGAGTGACTACGTAAAAAAGCTCCTAAATGACATTCTAAACTAAAATACCATACACCTTACATGTTTGGTATATCCATGCTCTCTTTAGATGATTTTTATATAAATTAAATTAGTTTATGCATAGGTGGGTGTAATGTTGTACATGTGAGGGGAGTAGTTGTTGGCAGGACAAACACAACCAAGAAGCATCCTCCATTGAATGAACAACGTTCTTCTGATGGATGTGACCACAGTGATTACTGTTCTTGAATTGAATCTTTATATGATATAATAATAATATGAGTTCAAATGAAAATAACCATAGCTCTATGTGCACATGGCATCACACCGCTTAGGGGTACCATCACTTATACCATTATTAATCTCATTTGGTTGCACTTGTAGATGTAAGTATTCAACAAATAACCGAAAGGGATTGGTTGAGCGAAATAAGAAATAGATTTCAAATTCAAAGGTCTTCACTAGTTTACTTAAATGAAATAAATGTAAATATATTTGAGTACTGTTACTATGACCCTATTTCCTCTTCCTATTTCTTATAATATAAAGAACATTTTAACAAAATGATTGTATATTTCAAATAAGCACTTCCATCAAAATAATTTTAACAAAATAAACTAAAGTCGCAAAATATTAGAATACTAGATTTTACCATCATTTATGTCAAAGAGCATCATTAAAAGACTACTAACATGCAAGTATATCATTCAAACATTTTTTCACTAGATATACTATTCAAAATTAATAGAACATATTCCCCACCGGACTCTTATGCAATATTTATCATAGTGTTTCGTAATCTCAATGGTTGTTACGTGAATATTTTTGTTTGCACGTAAAATTAGAACTCAATAGCAAAACCGATCGTACCATTGTGTTTTTGATTGAGAGGTGTTAGCCTTGAGTCTTTGCTAATGTGGAATCTTGTCAAATAAATGCAATAACCAAACTAACAAAAAAATCACAATTCAATCGCTACCTCTATTTATAGACATGAAAAACATGGGCTAATATAACTGTAACAATTAGCCCAAAATTTTGTAAGAGTAAAGTGATAAACAATATTGAAGAGTACAAAACAAGGTCCGTAAGCATATTAGTTATAAATTACAGAAGACTTCTATGTATATACTAATTCTATCTTTTTTTTTAATTACAAATAAATATCTAATATTAGAATATATAGAAAAATGAAACTGAAGAATCACGCTCAACGTCCATCTCACCCTATGTCTGATTTTAACATCTCACCCTTTGTCTGATTTTAACCTCTTTCTGTTTTGTACCTTATATATAATGTAGTTTTCATCTTCTTTAACATGTCCTTTTTTTTTTTCAATAATAATATATTTTTTTTTAACGTAGCTTTTTCCCTTCTTGCATAATTATGCAAAAGTCTTTCGTCATTATTTTTGTTCACAACACTGGTTCAGTTTTTCCAGAAACTCTAAAATGGTATCAAAGTATTTCTTTTGAAGTGCTTTGTTGTGCATTTCTGGGTTTTTTCTTCTTTCTTTGATTTCATGCTTCTTCTTAATCCCTTTCTTTACCATGTCCAAATTGACTTATTTGTATTTGCATTCTAGCGAGAGTCCTGTTACTCCCTTGATTTCTCCTGTGTTCAATGTCAACAATTATCACTCATGGTATAGATCTATGATGACAATTTGCGTGCTAAAAAAAGATACAGATTTTTGATGATAAGACTATAACTAAACCTGATAAAAAGGATGATTCGTATCAAGTATGAAAGTGTTGTAATAATATGGTGGTTTCTTGGATAGTTCACTTTGTATCGCCTTTGGTTTGTCAAAGCATCTTATGGATTTATAAAACTGAAGTTGTTTGGAAAGATTTAAAGTCAAGATATTTTCAAGGTGACCATATGCGTATTTCAGATTTATAAATGAAAGTCTCGTAAGTGAAACAAGAAGAATCAACGGTAACTGAGTTTTTCACTAAGTTAAGAATCATTTGGGATAAAATAGATAATTTTAGGCTTGATCCAACTTGTACATGTGTTATGAAATTTTTCTGTGGCATGATTGGTTTGATTAATCAAAGAAAGAGTGATGTGATGCAATTCCTTAAGGGTCTTAATGAGCAATACACTAATGTTAGATCTCATGTTCTTCTATTAGATCCTATCCCTCTTATTAGCAAGACTTTTTCCTATGTAAGCCCAACAAGAACGTCTAATTATGAGTAACAATTTTTATCCTGAGAGTAATATTAATATCAATGTTAGTAACACACAAGTGACATGTAATTACTGTGGTAAGAATGATCATAATGAATAGAAAAATGGTTTTCCACCTAACTATGAAAGAAAGAATTTAAGAAAATTTGTTAAAGTACTTGCACCCATTGTGGTAGAGACGAACATACCATAAATGTGTGTTATAGAAAATATGGTTTCCCCGTGGCCACAAGTTCTTCAACAGCAAAACAAACTCTGTCAAAGTCATTGATAATAAACATGATTAGAAGCAAGATCATGCTGGTGGAGATCAAGACATGCTCTTGACTCAACAACAATATCAGACTCTATTAACTCTGTTACGATCTAAATAATAAGCTATTGAAGATTCTCGTGTAAATCAGATCAACACTATCACCATTGATTTTTCTCAGCCAGATAAACCCTTCACAAGTTCTTGCAATATAAAAGATAAGAATGTTTAGATCTTTGATTCCGAAGTCACTGACCATGTCTTTTGTTCTTTGAATAATTTCCTGTCATATAAAACCATTAAAAATATACTTGTTCATCTCTCTTATAACACTAGAGTAACTGTAACTCATATTGACAAAGTTAAACTTAACGAAAAACTTATTTTAGATGATGTTCTTTACATTCTAGCTTTTGAGTATAATTTGATTTCCATATTTAAACTTGTTTTTGCCTTAAGGTTGAGATTATTTTTTCACCAAACCTTTGTATCGTTTAGGATTCAAATATGAAAAGGAAGATTGGCTTAGCTAGATCTAAGGGTGGGTTGTATGTGCTTTCCAATTCTGAGAAGTCTTTGGCTTTCAGTAACAACTCTTCTTATAATAACCTAAATAGGAATTTATGTCATGATAGATTAGGTCATCTTTATGATGATAGGATAAATGTTTTAAAACAAAAACATCCTTACATTCATAGTGATAAAACTAATATCTGTGATGCCTATCATTTTGCAAAGTAGAGAAAATTACCTTATTCTAATAGTACTACACATATTAATCAAGCTTTTGATATTGTACATGTTGATATTTGGGGACCATGTTCCATTCCCTCCATGCATGTTCATAGATATTATCTTATCATTGTTGATGGATATACACATTCTACTTGGATTTATTTGATGGCTAGTAAGTCTGAAACAGGAAAGCATCTTCTTCATTTCATAACTCTTTTTAAAAACTAGTTCAATAAAACCATCAAAGTTATAAGAAGTGATAATGGTCCTGAGTTTAATATAAGAAGTTTTTATGATGCCAGAAAATTATACACCAAACCAGTTGTGTAGAGACCTCAAAACAAAATGAAGTGGTGGAGAGGAAACATCAACATCTCATGAACATGACTTGCGCCCTGCTTTTTAGGTCTTTTGCTGTCTTGCATGCTGCATATCTGATAAATGTTACCCCTACTCCCTTTTCAAAAGATTCCTCTCCTTTATATAACAAGAAGTGTGATTTGAATCATATCAGAGTCTTTGGGTGCCTTTGTTATAATAATATCTTGACTGTTAATAAAAGTAAGCTTGATCCTTGTGCTGATGTTGGTGTGCTTTTAGGTTTCAAAACCAATACGAAGGGATATGTTGTTTACAACCTTAAAACACATGATATAATTGTCTCTAGAAATGTTATGTTTTATGAAAATGTTTTTCCTTACTCAAAGCAACATGATAAAATTGATGATCAAGTTCAAAGTTTTTTTTTCCTGTTTCTCAAAATTATTAAGATGGTAAGTAATCATAATCTTGATGAAACTGATAATGCTATTTTTGATAACAAAGATGACATCTCTAACAACATAGATTCCTCTAGTAATAGTCCTGAACATGAACACATTCATGCTCAAAATAGAAATAATTATAGTATTAGAAGAAGAAATCCTCCTTCATACTTAAGCGATTACCACATGTTTTCTGCTGTGTCTAAAAATATAAGACACCCCAATGAAAATTTTGTCTCTTATAATAGGCTTGCCTTGGGTTTTAAACATTTTATCTGCTCTATTGATATTAATAAAGAACCTAATACTTTTGAGGATGCTATTAAAAGCAATGGTGCACAACTATGCATGATGAAATATTTGCTCTAAATAGGAATCATACTTGGATCATTACCACCTTACCTAGTGACAAAACAACTATAGGGTGTAGATGGTTTTATAAAATAAAATAAAATACAAAGCCAATGAAGCTGTTGACGGATACAAAACACGCCTCGTTGCTAAGAGGTATACATAAAGAGAAGGATTGGATTACCTTGACACTTTCTCAGCTGCAAAGCTTACCATCATTCGTATCTTGCTTGCCTTGGCTATTGTAAAAAACTGGCATCTCAAATAGTTAGATGTCAATAACGCATTCCTGCATGGAGATCTCAATGAGGAGGTTTACATGGAGCTCCTACTGGGCCTTGAATCAACGGGAAACAATCAAGTCTGTAGATTACATAAGTCATTGTATGGGCTTAAACAAGCCAGCCGTCAATGATATGATAAACTTTCAACTTTTCTCTTGCTTCATGGTTATAAATAAACTAATGCAAATCACTTCCTTTTTACTAAACTCGTTAATTCTAAAATCATCATTCTCTTAGTGTATGTTGATGATATCATGTTAGTTGAAGAGGATTTACAAGAAATAAGCAATATAATCATTCTTTTAGATCAAACCTTTAAAAAAAAACTTGGAGATTTGACCTATTTTCTTGGCTTTGAGGTGCCCAGGAGCATGAAAGGCATACATCTTTCTCAATGAAAGTATGCTATAGATATTCTACAAAAAATAAGCATGCTAGCCTCTGCTCCAGTTTCAACACCTATGAACTTCTCAAAATGAAATTCTACTAACAATGTGGACGTGTATTACATTATACAAAAGACTCATTGAAAAGTTGATATATCTTACTAACACGTGATCCGACATCATGCATGTTATTCACAACCTTAGTCAGTATGTTATTGCTCCTACATCACATCATCATCAAGTTACTCTTTGTGTGCTTCGTTATTTAAAGCAAGCTCGTGGTTTAAGCTTGTTCCTTGATGCAAGAAGTGATATCAAAGTCACTAGTTTCAGCGATTTTGATTGGATTGGATGCCCAGACATGAGAAAATCTATCACAGGGTTCAACATCTATCTCAGACATTCTCCTACCAATTGGAAATCGAAAAAGCAATGCATTGTATCCCATAGCTCCTCTGAAGCATAGTACAAAGCCTTGCATCAACCACTTGCGAATTGTAGTGGATCCTCTACCTTCTCCAAGATCTCAAAATCGAGCACCCACAATATGCTCTTTTCTTCTATGACAACTAATCCGTTTTGTAAATAGTTTCTAATTAAGTTTTTCAAGAGCGTACAAAACATATAGAGATTGATTACCATATTATAAGAGAGAAAGTTCAAAATGGAACCATTAAGTTTCTCCCTATCAACACAAAAGATCAACATGATAACATTTTTACAAAAGTTTTACCTCCTTTAACCTTTCATAGGCTTCTTTACAAGCTTGGAATGTTAAATATACATGCTCAGCTTGCGGAAGACTCTCAAATATAATGAAAAATAACACTGAAAAATTGCGCTCAACATCTACGCACTTGCACCTAATTCTAGTCTCTTTTTGATTTGTACCTATATATAAACGTAGTTTTCTTCTTCTTCTTTAACATGTATCTTGTATTTTTTTTTAATAATAATAAGTTTTTTTTTCTTTTTTATCTTTTTCCTTGTTGTATATTGATGAAAATCCTTTTACCATTATTTTTATTCCCAACTTTGAGTTCAGTTTTTCCATAGATTCTATGATCTAATTTACTAAAATTAATAAAATAATTAACTTTTGTAATACTTTTAACCAACAATATCACAAATTTAATTTTTTTTTGTAATTATTAAATAAAATAGTTTAAAATTAATATATTATTAATAAACTCATGTCTATAAGAATAAAAAATAAGAGATTCTACAATATATCATGATTATAAAATAAAATTATCATATATATATATATATATAAATAATTTCATATTTCTTATACTTAAAAATATTCTTTTTACTTCTTAGGAAAGCAATAGATAAATAAATTACACTTATTATCGGAGTGAACAACCCACTAACATGCATAATCAGCCACCTCAAAATTTGTAAACATTCATTAAAAAAAATTCTGATTTTATTAATATAATAATAAGTAAATAATTTATTATTTTAAGTAATTATGTTGAATTGTGTTTTATTTATGTACTTAATTATAGTTAAATTGTTTAAGTGTTCATGATTTTAAAATTCAATAAATTCGACTCAATCAACTATAAAATAAATATATAATAGAAAGATTATTTAACAGTTTTATATTTTATTAGATGAATATTATTTGTGTGTATTATAAATGTTATATTTATCTTATAATTATTAAAAAAATATATTTTATGATATCTTTTTAAAATTATTAAATTCAATAATCTAACCTAGTCCAATTATAATCGAATTAAGTTGGATGGATAAATAAAAAGGTAGACACAAGAATGAGTCCTTAAATAAACCCCACTGGAGCCACTGAGCTCCTGTTTATAATGAATTATTTCTTTAATCAATCAAATTAAAGAACAAAGTAACTTTACCACCATGAATCAATCCAAAACTAAGTAACTCAAAGCCCAACCCAAAACGCAATGTGGTGTCGAGTGTGTATCCATTGCTGCGTTTCATGCAAAATTGGTGTCTATCTCCGACTCCATGTATTTCTCATTGCACGGGAACTTAAGAAAGCTAGAAAAGCGAATCGACAATGGCGGTCACAAAAGACGAAGCTGCAACCACCGGAACAGGTGGTGCTCAACCTCCGAATCCCATTCACAATGGTAGCCCAAATCCAAATGCAAATCCAAATTCAAATTCCAATCCTAAGCCTAGCACTAACCCTAACCCGAGTCATACCACAAGAGGACCCATAAGAAAATCGTGCAGGGGAGTCACCTACTACTCAATGCTTGGGAAAACCAAATCCAAAAGCCCAAAATGCGTTGGAATCTCCAAAACACCACAGCAAGGTATCTCTCAGTCTTGTTTACTATTCATATTTTGGGTTGGTTCGACTATTGAAAAAAAGAAAATATTAGTAAAGCAAAAAGAGCACGAAATGGAATCCTGTGTGCGAAAGTTTAAAAAATTGTTAATATCAAACATTGTGTATTATGAGTAAAGAGAGAATGTATCGATTAATTCCTACCTATGCTGATATCCAGTTGCGGAATGGTTATTGATTTTTGCGGACAACCTATTCCTTTACCTTGTACTTCGATGCAGAGTAACTTATTCAAGAGGACATTGCATTTCTTGTTTTCACTTGAGCCTGCAACTGGATTTTAGTTTGCTTGTTGGGGCTGTTAGTTTGTTCGTGAAATCATTAGAAATTGGTTAAGAGGGCATTTTTGCTTATCGTGAAGTTGTTACAGATAAAAATCATCTATAGCAATTTGTGATAGGAGGGCATTTGTGAAGTTTTTATCATCTATAGTAGTCTGTGACAAGAGAAGGATTTAACAAAACCAAAAATCATTCATAGCTCAAACAAAAAAAAGTTCATTTATACTGAAACAAAAATTAATTAGTTTCCTAATTATTTTTTTTTACGAATTTCTATTCAAATTTTATATGATAATCTTGAAACTCAATATTTTTTGTAAATCTAATGTACAGTGCTTTTTCTAGCGGCAATTAACATGTAGATTTGTCTATTAAGAGTTTCGGCCTTGCATTTTTACTATGTTTATTTTATTTCTTTGGTACACTCGTTAGTCATTACTTCCTTTTTTTTTCATGGTTAACCTTTATCTAAATTATTCCACTACTATTTATTAGTACTTCATTTTTTATGTTAGAATATTGTAGTTTTATGTTTCTTTTGAATTGTTTTTATTGTCTAATTTTCTCTGCTCATGAGAGTCTAATCTTTATTTCATTATAAACCTTTAAGGTTTTGATATTGATGTTCTTATTCATATAATCAGTATCTGTCAGCAGTCTTACAAATTTCAAGTATGCCTGTATTGGATTCTCTGTCTACATAGACGACAAAGATTCTCCAGCTGACTCGCAGGATAAAAGAACAAAATTGCCTTTTTGCATCGGTCTTGAGGTTTTATATCTTGATTGCCATTCTGTTGTATCTTTTGTATTTCTAAAACTAGGTTTATCTTGTTTCATGGGTTTCTTGGGAGTTAGTACATAATTATTGTAATGTAGAGTTCCATATATCATGCAGCAAGCAACAATTTATAAGATAAAATAGAACTGCTAAACCATAGCACCATTGTTAATAGTTACTAGAGCCCGCCAAGTAATTTGGGTCTGCTCGTCTGATGAGTCTCATTTATTATTTGGGCTCACATGATATCCACCCAATAGTGAAGAGTTTATAAGATTGTTGCTAGCAACCTTGCATTTCTCTAGATAAAATAAACTTAAAAAGTGAAAAGTAAGGATGGTTGTGGAGCAGTGATCAATTAAATTGTGAATGATAATGTGGTTTCAGTTTATGACACTGTTAACACATGTTTCAGGTGATGATATCGGACAGAAAATATTACTCTAAAGGTATTGAAATTCTTGGTTTTTTATTTTTATTTATAGTCTTAGACTTCTGGGTTATTTCTTTCCTTTCAATCATTCTTCATTTACATGAAAAAAGAGTAATGGTAAATTTAAAAGCTTAATCATATTTGGATAATTATCTTTGATACTGGATATAATTAATCTGTGTTCCATCTTTATATCAATGATAACTTTCCCAAAATGTGAAACTTGTTATTCTGGAAGTTCATATGCGAAGTCATAGAAGCAGTAGGACATTATCTGTTGTGTTGTGTACTTTTCCAACATTCTCAAGTTGTTCTCAATTACTGAAGTGAGAGTAGAAGAAACAAGAGACTACTGGAGAATTAGGCCCATGGGCCAGTGTAACATAACTTAGCTGGTATAACAGTTATTAGTGGCAGTTGCGTAATAAGAGAAAAACTGCTCTGCATCCAGTTTTTTTAAATTTACAGTTGGGAGAGAAGCTGAGACTCTTGAGCTATTAACCAATAAAATATTTGTTTTTTCTTCTCTCACTTGTCTGTCTGTCTTGAACCCTAGTTTGATTAATATTGAATTCATTTATCACCAAGATAGGTAAAAATTCCTGAGTATCCAAATCTAAAAGAAAAAGAAAAGAAAATGGAGTTTTTTGTTGTTGTTAAATTGAGCTTCATTTAGTCTTGTCAAACCTGAAAGGACTTTTCTACCCTTGTAATGTGGGAGTGGGGCAAATGATCGATATTCATGAATGTATCATAAGGAACACTCAATCAATCTTATTTACATTGCAGGTGTGATTAGTTCTTGTAGGCTAGTATTCTTCAAATAGAGCCAGAAAGAAATGTCATTGTTTTACAATGTAGTTTTTTCATTCTCTACCCCAAACAATTACTTCATATAAAAATTGATTAGTTAATATTCTTATATTATTTTGGGGTTAATTTCTTTTCTTTTATTTTTACTTACTATGGCTTTCCATTTTTGGGATTTTGGTCTTCTTTCTCCTGAAGATAAGCATGATACTCCTCAACATCAAAGAAGCATCCATCAAAATCAGGCAACAAAGTTCTTGACTGGGCAAGTGGAAGTTCTTAGCATACACGAGTTAACTTTTACGTTTGTGCCTTCTGGCTACAGGAATACTTGGGATGTAGTCTTAACTATCTAATTCTAACACAGGAAGATTCTAAATATGCAGGTTTCAAAGAAATGCAGGCCTGGTGGCATCCCGTGTTGGCAGAAACTTGAACAGAATGGGTAACTATGTGAAAAAGCTCCTAAATGACATTATAAACTAATTCTACGATACACCTTAGATGTTTCGTATATCCGTGCTCCCTTAAGATGATTTCACATTTCAACTCTCACTCTGATGTGTAAGGTTCATTATAGAACTACTTCGACTTTCTATATAGGCCAACGACGGTGACAGTTGTTTTAGTTTGTGTCCAAAATAAATTCAATTATACGCATTGGCCATTTTCTTTACCTTTTAGGTATTTATTTTTATTTAGGTAACTGAATTATAAATAATTTTTACAGACTGGCCACTCTCCTTGCAATTCTGAACTTAATAATTTATTGTGAGTTATGTATGGTGTTTTGGATTTGTTATACCCAAGAGTATGTTTTTGTTCTACAGCCTTTCTTTATTGTACTTGTCTGACAGTAGCCCATTGTTTTTTTATTGGATCGGTATTAAAAGTCCTATAAAAATCGGCTTCCTGCTACGCGCCTTGGCTATCTGTTTGACATAGTATACTGTTTTTTTTTTTTTTGTTTATTTTATATATATATATATATATATATATATATATATATATGTATATATATATATATATATATATGTTTGATCTCTAAGTTGATGCTTGAATGCCAATTAAACTACTTGATCATCCACTGAAATAGACTTGCAAAATATGCGATATTTGAGATAATTTTTAGGATTGCAGAATGTTAGTCACAGGGGAATTCTTGCTGTACGTGCGCAATTGAAAAAACTAAATTATTTTGTGCAATCTGAATTATTTAGATAACATTAAATAAGAAAAACAAGAAACAGCGCATCTTTTTGTGCTCCCGTCAGCCGAGGTGAAGAACATTTGATGTTCTCTGTAGCCGCTCGTTTTTTAGGACCACTTGCTCATCAATTAATAATTTGGACACTGGACCCTTTGGAAGGTTCATGGACTTGGAATAAGGTTGAATTTCACGTTTTTCTCTTTTTAGATATATATTTTTTTCTTTTTTTTGTCAGATATTATGTATTTTTAAAATCATGTCTTTAATCAAGAGTGACCGAAAATAATGTATTATGATAATCATATGGATATTAAGACCTTGAAGGGATCAAGTCAATAAAAATAATTTTTAGGGTTAGGTTTTAGATAGATTTTTATTCAAACGGAAGTGCCTGAACTACATGAATATTTTGGCTAGAAGAGAAACTTTTCTCGATTTTAGACCTACAAACGAACAAACTCACTGTCCTGCGAGACTCGTGATTGGAATCGTGTCTATTAGCAATAAAAAAGGTTTACTTCTAATTGCTGCGCATAGAAATGGAATCTTTTTAGGCGAGGATAAATAAAAATAATAATAAAGTATTAAATGGTAAATGGATTTAAGATGAGTAATTTTTAATAATGATTATTATTTGATATGTGAATTATTAATTTTAAGATTTTACTTGATTTTTTTTATTTTATATAATTATTTAAAATTATTATAATTTATATATACAAATCAGGTTTATGAGATCATCAACTGTATTTTAAAATGTTGGATAATCTCCTTGGAAAGCATCTTGCTTATAAGAAAGTGTAGAATGTAATTTGTTAAATTTTTCTATATAATCTTATTAATTCCTTGAAACTGTAAATCACCATTTTCGTATTTGAAAAACGAAAATGTTGATTAATTTAGTCATATATGATGATTAAATTGGCGTAAAATGGTCTATTTTTATTTATTTATTTTAAAGTAAATGATAAATATTCGGTTTCCAAAAACTAATGTGATCAACTTAATATTTGACCTAATTATTGTTATTATTATTATTATTATTATTATTATTATTATTATTATTATTATTATTATTTAATTAGCGTTGTTGATGAACTCAAGTTCCTAGAGTGGAGTTGAGATTCCAGTTAGGTGTGGTGTGTTAAAGGTAACGACAAACTCAACCGATCTAACGCTGCGTATATAACACAACGGGGTGGAATGAATAAACACTTGGGCTTTATGTGATGCCAAAGCATTTGTTCGGACACAAAGAAAGTGACAACTGTGGGAGCATGTGATTTCAGTGACACTTCATTTCACTTCACTTGAGTCTGTGATTGACGAGCAAATGAAGGAATGGAGGACGCTGTTCCATGTTGCGGTGTTTGCGGCGGTGTTGACCGGAATGGGAAGCAGCCACGACTACGGGGACGCATTGTCGAAGGCCATTATTTTCTTCGAGGGACAGCGATCGGGATTCCTGCCGCAGGATCAGAGAGTGAGTTGGCGAGGGAACTCCGGTCTCAGTGACGGCTGGAACTACAACACAGATCTCACTGGCGGCTACTACGACGCCGGTGACAACGTGAAATTTGGGTTTCCGATGGCCTTCACCACCACAATGCTGGCATGGAGCGTGCTGGAATTCGGTGACGTCATGCCTCCCAATGAGCTCAGGAACTCCCTCCTCGCAATTCGTTGGGCCACTGATTATCTTCTCAAGACTGTTTCTCAGCCAAATCGGATTTTCGTTCAGGTGAATAAATTATTTCCAATTCCTCTTCACTGCATCAACATCTATTTTTATTTTCATTTTTATTCTAAACTAAATTAAATTGATATTTTGGGTGGCTGAATGTGATGCTAGCGTAGTAGCGTGGACGATCGATTAGAGAGGGGTTGGTTTGGTTGGATTTTACTTTTCCTGCCCCGTCCTTCTTCCTTCTTCATTCAATTGGGATTTCGTTATGTGAAAAAAATTTATACGTATCAAATTTTTAAATGCAATAAATTTTCTGAAAACTGAAACTTCCGAGGGTTTCAAGTAGAGAATCAATAATGATAGATTACAGTTGCTTAATTTTAAAAGTGAAAAAACGTAATTAGTTTTATAAAGGACTTAGCTGACTAAAATTCAAAGTAAAGGGATGAAAAAAATAAAAATCAATTCAAACTTTTTTTCTTTGGCTGTAAATTCAACCAACTTTTCTTTTTAATTTACTTTTAAATTTTGTTATTACTGCAAAGGCATAAAAATAAGCTGAAATTTAGTTTCAATTTGTGGGAACGAAGAAGGAGATCAAACCACTGAATACACCTTTGATGGAAGGACAAAGGTGTAAAATAAGTGCTTTTTATATATGTATTAGACAAAATTGGTAATTTGAATTATCAAACACTTGTTAATTGTTAATAGTGAGTCATTTTGGTATTCTTCCTTTTATAGCACAATTAAAGTATTTTTAATAATAAATTGGAGTAACTCCACTCCTGTAATAAAGGGTGGACCACTGAATGGGCCATGTTCAGTTTCATAATTATTCGTGAGATATACTTTCCATTCATAAAGCTCGTGAAATTCACACTTATAAATGGTCCCTTGCTGACTGCGACAGCAAAACCTTTTCCTTTTTCCATTTGATTCTTAGGTAACAGTTGAGTTACGTGTATCGATTTCATTATAGATACTGTTAGTAGTAATCGTTAAGATGGATTCATTTATAAGGTAATTCATTTTAAAATTGAAAAGTATGAAATTATTTGTGATCAATTTTATGTTTCAAATAACTATTTGTAGAAATAAAATGAGAAAAAAAAAAGAGAGAGAGTAAAAAACGGTACATTATCTTCTAGTTACAGTCTAATTTAATTCAAAAATATTTGTAATAAAAAGAATCTAAAATTACGATGATGTTGCAAATAGAGAATAAATTATATATATATATATATATATATATATATATATATATATATATATATATATTATGTAAATAAGTTGTAACCATCATACTTAGTCATGAAGGAAATATACGTCATCTAAACTAAAAAAGAATAACGAATAATTTGATTAATGATTTCTATGCCCTTTAGCTTTATAATATATATATATATAAGAAAATCATGAATCATTAGTAAAATTACAAATTTATTTTACATAAACTTGTGATTAGATAAAAATAATTTATTTAATTTATTGTTATATGATTAGCTAATTTGTTTTGGTTCGTGATATGAATGGCACAGGTGGGTGATCCAAACTCCGATCACGGTTGTTGGGAGAGGCCAGAGGACATGGATACAGCGAGGACTACATATGCTATTGATGCACCGAACGCCGCTTCTGATGTCGCCGGCGAAACGGCCGCCGCACTAGCAGCCTCGTCCATGGCGTTCCGGTCATCGGACCCTGGTTATTCGGAGACATTGCTTCGAAATGCTGTTACTGCCTTTGAATTTGCAGATAACTACAGGGGTGCTTACAGTGACAATGATAATGTTAAATATAATGCCTGCCCATATTACTGTGATTTTGATGGCTATCAGGTAAATTCATATTACTATCACTTTCTTTATTAATTAATGAAAACAACTAATAAAGGCTTATCTCATTAATTAAATATATAAAATATGTGCATGTTTATTTTTTTTATTTAAAAAAATTAAACTAATTTAATTACTCTGTGAAAATTGTTTGCTGCCCAGTCTAATAATAAAGGATGTTTATAAGAACATAACTTAAGTGACGTGATGTGATTATATTTGCTGCATTGTAATCAGGTAGATTAATTACTAAAACAAGATTCAATTCAACTAGAAAAAAAAAACCTATAATTGTGTATCTGCTATTTGGATAATTTTGGTAGTTGGAGGATGGCACATGCATGTATTAGGTCTGCCAATAATGGCCAGTGCCCACTGTGTAGCTAGCTAGCACAGTGAATGTAACAGCTCTATAAATTTTGCCTTTATAGAAAAGTAAGAATAGAGAGAATGGTAGATAAGTTAGTTGTTTTTGTTTTGATGGGTGAATTAATGTAATTTTGAATTGAATATGGTATAGGATGAGTTGTTATGGGGAGCCGCATGGCTAAGGAGGGCGACACAGGACGATAATTTCCTGGACTACATTCAAAGCAATGGTAAAACTCTTGGTGCCGATGACAACATCAATGAATTTGGTTGGGACAACAAGCATGCTGGCCTTAATGTACTTGTCTCCAAGGTCAGCCTCATATTTCTCCATCACTTTCAACCACAAATTTAAATCCCCACATTTTATGTGATCTAAAATATATACACATGTACATGTTTACATTTTCATTCACAACCAAAGAAAAATCAAGTGAGAGTTTTGTAAGTGTTTCTGGTGTTGCTTTCCAACTTGGAGTTTCACATGATAAACTATATTAACTGTACGAAAACCTTATTATATGGATTATAGGGTGAAGGCATTATATTGTTTGAAAAACAACACAAAAATACCTACACAACTGCATTGTAGTTTTAAACCTAAAATCAAGATGTATTGTTGATACCCAATAAATTTATAGGAAGTGATAGAAGGAAAGATATACTCTCTTGAGTCCTACAAGTCCTCAGCAGAGAGCTTCATTTGCACACTGATACCCGAATCACCAAGCTCACACATAGACTACACACCAGGTGGACTTGTGTACAGACCCGGAGGCAGCAACTTGCAACATGCTACTTCAATTGCTTTCCTCGAATTGGTGTATGCCAATTACCTAACACACACTTCAGAAGCCATCACTTGTGGCAATGTCTATGTCAGTGCACAAACTCTTCGCCAACATGCTAAGAGGCAAGTTGATTACATTTTGGGTGATAACCCAATGGGACTGTCCTACATGGTTGGCTACAGCAACTACTATCCTCAACGTATTCACCACCGTGCCTCTTCTTTACCCTCAATCAAGGATCATCCCCAGTTCATTGCCTGCAAAGAAGGTTCAATCTACTACAATTCAACAAATCCAAATCCTAATGTACTTGTTGGTGCTATTGTTGGAGGACCTGACGAAAACGATGATTATCTGGATGATCGAGCTGATTTTAGGAAATCTGAACCAACAACTTACATTAATGCCCCATTTGTTGGGGTGTTAGCATATTTTGCTGCAAATCCCAACTTTATTAGTTGATGTAATAATTACCATGATATATAGGATTTTTTTTTTTCAAAATCAAAAGATATACCCTGAAGATGGTTCTCATCTTGAGAAAATATAATCAAGAGGGTTTATTACTAAATTTATCTCACAAAAGCTGCTTCTAATTGTTCAATTCAATAATAATAATAACAATAATAATAGTAAAAAATTATAATTAAATGTTGATCTCTTATTTCACCTTCTTTTTTTTTCTTTTTTTTTTTATCTTTATCTTCTTATTATATCATATCTTCTGTAAATTTATAATTTTTTTTTCTTTTTAGACATTTTGGGTCACCACCATTTTTTTTCCAAAGAGCTTCAGTATTTTATTTAACATCGAAGAAAACAAGTACAAAATCAGCAATTTCTAATGTGAACTAGCATGGAAAAATAAGTACAAAAAAGATGAGCAATATATTAGTTACTAGCCAAATTTTATAATAAAATAGTTATTTACTCTTAAATGTAAAACAATGGGTAAGTTGCATGGATTTATCTGCAACTAGCAGGCAAATCAGCCGCTACGTACATGAAAGTATCTGAAGAAGAGCATGAACAAAGCAACGGAGTCGCTTTGCAGTTACAATTATTATCATCATTTTCATCGTCCAAGACCACAGCATGAGATATGAAGTAGCATTATTAGGAAAACATGTAAATGTTGATCAACCACTGCAAGAAATATAATTTTTAATAATAAATATAAAATTTGTCATTATATATATATATATATATTAATTTGTGATTAATTTTTAATTTATCATATTGATTAAATTAAAACTTATCGCTGTAACTTTATTAAAGTGATAAAAACATATTTATCATAAATATTATTCATTCAGTGACTAAATTAAAAATTGTCACTATAATTTATTAAAAATAATAAAATATATATTTATAACAAATAATATTTTATGCAGTGATTAAACTAAAAATTGTCATCATAGTTTCTTATCTAGACAAAAAAGAGAATAAAAAAAAGAAGAAGAAAAAAACGTTTGGAGGATGATCACTCCAGGAGATCACTGATGATATTAATTTTTTCTTTCCCTCTATACACTCGCTATCCCATCCTCTTTTACTACTAACCAGTGACGGATCTTTTTGGAGCTGAGGGGGCTGTGACCCCCCCCAAAGTTTTGTAACTCCCATGTAATTTATGATTTTGTCCCCCAAACATAATGAACATTTAATATATTTACTAGTATATTTACAATTTTATCCTCTCAGTCCTTACTCAGCTTTTGTAACTCTCATATAATTTATGATTTTGTTTTTCTCAAACTTAATGATCATTTAATATATTTAAGTATATATCTACAATTTTATCTTTTCACCATTTCATATTCTTTCTTCCTTTTATATTTATTTATTATTTATTAATAATATATTATTTGCCCCCCTAAGATCAAAGGTCAAGATCCGCCACTGCTACTAACCGTTTTTGACTTCTTCTAACTGACTAACCAATCTGACCCTATTAAAAAGAACGTTAATACACGTGCACATGTCCTATTCATATCAAATAGCTACCCCTTCAACCACAACCTTGTCCTCAAGGTTGATATTGGAAAAGTGTATGCGCAATAGTTGGATCTCTTCCCACGTAACATCTTCTCTTGGCTTATTCTCCCATTCCACCAGAACTTGAATCTGTGATTCCCCATTGTAGCCATGTGCATTTAGCCAAAATGGCTGCAGGTTTGAAATCCTCTGTTGTTTCCTATTCCATAGTCGTGACTTCTTGCTGATTCACTGTTGGGCCTACATAGGGCTTAAGTAATGCCATGTGAAACACTGGGTGTACTTTTGACGTTAATGGTAGTTGCAATCTATATGCTATTGCCCTTATTCGCTCTGTGATTCGAAATTGACCTTGATATTTTCGACCCAGCTTGGGATGTTCTTGGCCCCTTGTTATGAGTTGCTTGTGGAACTTGGTACGCAGCCAGACCCAGTCTCCTACATTGAAGGTGCGCTCCTTGCGGTGTTGATTGACAAACACTTTCATGTGTTGTTGAGCCTAATGGAGATGTTCAACGAGTGATCGTCGTATATGTTCCCGCTGTTCCAACTCGTCTTCTACAACTTGTACCGTCGTGCTTCCCATCCGATACCCTGGCCATGGTAATGGTGTCTTGCCGAAGACCACTTGGTACGGGCTCATTTTTGTGGCAGTGTGGTACGTGGTATTGTACCAGTATTCTGCTCACACGAGGAATCTATGCCATGGATGGGGTTGATCACAAACAAAAGCCCTTAAATTATGCTCCAAGCACCGATTGAGGACTTTAGATTGACCATCTGTTTGTTGGTGGTAAGTTGTACCAAACTTGAGTTGTGTGCTGCATAATTTCATCAAGCTGCGCCAGAATTTGCTGATAAAAAGAGGATCCCGATATGAGACAATAGAGTTAGGAAACCCATGTATCTTCACTACCATGTTATTGAATAGACTCGCTACATCCTTTGCGGTGTGATTGGGTAATAATAGACCAAAGTGAGCCATTTTGGAATATCTATCCACCACTACCAAAATACAATTAAACCCTTCTGACTTGGGTAGTGAGGTGATAAAGTCCATGGCTAGATCTTTCCAGATTCGTTGTAGGCAAGACAGTGGTTGCAATAAACCACTAGTTCATTCTATAGGCACCTTGATTTGTTGACAAGTGACACAAGAGGCGATGTATTGTTGCACATCCTTTCGCATAGTTGGCCAATAAAAGTTTTCAACAATCTTTATATGCGTCTTCTAGGCTCCTGTATGGCCTCCTATAGGTGTAGTATGAAACTCGCATAGGAGCTGCTTCTTCACGTCTTCAGCTGAGTTAGGAACGTAGAATCCGTTGTCTAGGTCCAAGAGAATCCGTTAATGAAATCCTGGCTCTTTGCGTATTCACTTGGCTAAGAGTTGTCTAGGTCCCGGAGAATCCATTGTGCTTGTGAGTCGGTTTGGGTGACTTCTTTTATGCGTTGTAGAAGTTGGCACTGTATCGACGTCAGCATGCTCAAGTAAGCGGGTTGTGTTGGGATTCGCAAAGGGCATCTGCTACGGTATTTTCTGCTCCCGGTTTGTACTCGATGGAATACTCAAAACCCAACAGCTTGCTCAAATAATGGTGTTGTTCTGGAGTTTGGATGACCTGATTCATGAGCTCTTTCAAGCTCCTATGGTCAGTACGAATAACAAACATGCTGCCCAACAAATAATGTCGCCACTTGGCTACTGCTTGAGTGATTGCATATAACTCCCGTACGTACGCATACACTTTTACTAGACGAGGATTCAATGTCTTACTGAAGAATGCGATTGGATGACTTTGTTGCAACAAAACGACACCAATTCTGAAATCTGATGCATCTTTTTGAGAATGAATTCTCGCATAAAGTCTGGTAAAGCCAGCATTGGGGCACTGGTCATGTGATCTTTGAGGGAGTGAAAAACTTGTTGTGCTTCCTTACTCAACTAGAACCGATCTTTTCCAAGTAACACTGTAAGTGGGGCGGCCACCTTGACATACCCTTTAATGAAAGGTCTATAATACCCGGTCAGACCTAGAAATCCACGTAGCTATTGCATGGACTGAGGGGTAGGCCATTGACGCATAGCTTGTAACTTGACTGGATCAACACATACTCCTTGGGACGTGACTATATGGCCCAGGTACTCAATTTGATTTTGGCCAAAGAGACACTTGCCTTTCTTTGCAAAGAAGTTTGTAACACTGTGCGGAGGTAGGGTCAGAAAGTGGAATTCAAAATGGACTAAAAGGTTGCAGGGACGTTTGTTAACCCGAATATACGAGGAATTCAAAATGGCCATCATGGGTTCTAAAATTCGTTTTGTGAATGTCTTGTTCCCGCGTTCTTATTTGATGGTACTCAGCTCGTAGATCCAACTTTGAGAAGATCGTTGCTCCATGTAGCTCATCCAACAGTTCATCTATTATAAGAATTGGGTTCATCTATTGTAGGAATTGGAAACTTGTCCATAATGGTGATCTTGTTCAGTGCGCGGTAGTCTACACAAAAGTGTCACGATTCATCTTTTTTTCTTTTACAAGTAGCACCAGAGACGAGAAGGAACTTTGGCTAGGACGAATCACCCCTGCTTGTAGAATTTCAGACACCAATTTTTCCATTTTTGTCTTTTGAAAGTGAGGGTAGCGATATGGACGAATGTTCACTGGTATTTCTCCTGGTTATAAATGGATCGCATGATCAATGGCTCAAGCGGGAGGTAATGTTGATGAAACGGCAAAGACGTCTTCAAATTCTCGCAACAAGCTTTGGATTTCCGATGGCGGTTCAAAGTAATCTTCATAAGTGGTTTGTAGGAGTAACAAGTGGAAGCAAGACCCGATGTCATCTAATGTTGCCAACTGGTTCACGTCGCATTATTTCAAGGGCCCGAATGAGGGTTGAGTCCCTTTAAGTTGTATATGTCGCTGCTTGGTTACGAAGGTCATGGTGAGTTGTTCATAGTCAATAGTTACAGGTCCTAACGTTTGCATCCATTGTACCCCCAAAACTACGTCAATGCCTTCAATCTCCAAGATAAAAAGATCGATAGTGAACTCGTGACCTTGAATCTTGAGAGTGATGTTTTCACATTTGTGATTGCACACCAGTAGCTGACCACTACCCACAAATACTCGGAAAGGTGTGATTCTCAACTGTGGCCACCCCATTCATTGAGCTATGCTGGGTTTCACAAAATTGAATGTGATACCTCCATCTATGAGAACCGATAGTATCTGAGATTGGCATGTAACCATAACCCGCAACGTGGATGGATTCCCTTGACATGTTAAAGCATGCAACGATATTTCGAGAGTCTCTCTAATTACATGGTCACCTGAAGCTTGAGTCAGTTCCTCCAAAGCCGAGGAATCAATTTCTTTTGGTGTAATAAGGAGATAACATTGGGTTTTACATCAGTGTCACATTGTATATTTTTTCGTCACAGTAGTAACACAAACCTTTCTCGTGTTGTGCCCTCATTTCTGCATGCGATATCTTCTTATAGGGTTGTTTGGTTGGTGGTACGATCGAGGTGTGGGATGACACAGACTGTTGTGTGAGGGTGATATTATGGATAGTTTGTGATGGTTTCAATTGAGATACTGGTGGTGCAGTGTGGGTTCTGGTTGTTTGGGTGGACCATGATGATGGTCATGAGTTGGGTGTGGGTGCCATTGGAGTGTCGACATGTGGGTGTATGGCTTGCATTTGTGCATGTTTATGTTCATGGAGCTTTGCAAGACTCACAGCGTGAAGATAGGACTAGGGTTGGACTATCAGGAGTTCAGATTTAAGATGTTCATGCAACCTATCCAAAGAGATATTTGATATTTAATAATTAAAAAATAAATGATAGCTTTGAGAAATTCTAGTAACCAGGATATAATTCGTCTTCATCATCCTCTAGTATTTTATAACACTTTGATGTTTTTTTTGGTTCATTTTCTTACTCTTTGAACTTGTAATATGTCTTGCATCCTTGTTTTCTTTATTGCCTTCAACATTAAAAGTACTTACAATATCATGTAATATATTACGAATCTTCTCGTTATAATTTATTTTATCATCATCTCTACGAATGTTTCTTTGCTACTTCTTCGTGAAGATCCTAGATAACATATTTATTTTGATCCCTATTGTGATTAAGTACTCATCTATCATTCTTTTAGAGTGAAATATGTTATTATTATATCTTTTGCATGGATAGCAGGCAACCATTATTCTTCAAAATCAAAAAATGAAAATTTAATAAAATCAAGAACTCCATTTTACATAGTTGATTATGTTCTTCTTAAGTTTTTTTTTTAACTTAAAAATAAAACAAAATACGTATTTCATCCATTATCATAAATAAGAAACATTTTTTTTAATTTGATAATTCTTTTATTTATGGAATCTTTTAGTTATTTTTTATTATTTAATTAATTTAAATCACACTAAATTCTCAATTAATAAAATTAGAAGAACATTTTTTATTTAAATAAAAATTAATTTAAATAACCAAATAACCCACCATTCTAGAAGAACCTTTCCCAACATTAATTAGGAGTTTTGTGGTATTATTTTTAACTTGTATTAAATAATAATTTTTGGCCTTCTTTTTATTCACTTTTTTTAATATTAGGTTATCTTTGTTTATTTAATATTTTCTCCATTAGTATTACTCTATATTTTTTGTAAATTTGTTTATATAGAGTGAACTATGTCCAAATACAAAAAAGAAATGCTACAAAATATTAAAGAAAAGAAAGCAAAATTAGAGGCTTTGAAATTCACACATAACACTTATCCTTTGGAAGTCAGAACTTAAAATACAAAAAAATATATAGGATAAAGAAAAGTTTGAAGAGAATGACCAAGAATATAAATCCAAAATTATGAAAAACTTTCAAAAGATGAAATAAATGTAAGCACTATTTTTCTTTCTCTTATGTAATTGATTAATATTTTTGTAATATCTAATTAATTTTTTAATCATTAAATTTTTTATTTTATAGATAATAAGATCATTCAAATTAAATTCTAAAAGGATCATTGCCTCAGAGTTCAATAATCCTAATCTTGAAAAAACTACATATACTTGTATAACATATATTTTTTTTATAAAATTTTGTAAATTATTTATTAAAATTGTTACTAATTTATTTTAGACAACATATTGTTTTATGGAGACGTGGACATACCATAATCAAAACTTTAAAAGAAAAGGACAAAACTAATAATAGTGCAAAATCGTCCTTTTACATCATGTTATTTACATCGGTTATATGAGAATCAATTTAAATGTAAATGTGATGAAAATTTTGTAATAATTGACGGACTTTGTACATCGGTTGTTAATACAATTGATGTAGTATCTCACATATAACATCAGTTTATTTTAAAACTGATGTAAAGTCCTTTATATATTATCACTTTGCGTCTTTTCATTTTTTTTACTGTTGTCCTAAAAATTCTTCTTTGTTGTGTCATCATTGTACTCTCTCAAACATCATCCTCTATGGAGATAATCTTCTGCGAAGTTTCTCCCTTCTAGAACCTTTTTTCTCAAAAACTCATCATTTTTAAATTTTTTTCTTTTCAAGGTTTCTCATGTCCAAAGTTTCAATAATCACTCTAACATGAAAAATAATGAAGATGAAACTCTTATATACTATCTAGGACATTGTCATTATTCTTCTATGTCATTGTTATCTCGTGTTTTTTTCTTGTTGTCATCATCTTAGATTAAATAATAAACTTTGTTAAGAATGGAAAAAAAAAATTATTGTTGATGTTGTATACTGTTATGTTGTATTGTATGGGAAAATATAAAAAACAAATAACACTTCGTTCATTATTATATGTGAAAATATTAGCATTTACATGTGATACATTTTTTTTAAATGGACATATAACATTGATTGTCAACCAATGTAAAAATTCTCACACTTTCTATATTTGTGACATCTATATTGATCCAACAACCAATTTAAAATGCTCAAAATAACTAATGTGAAAATCCTATTTTCTAGTAGTGTAATGATAATAAAGAAAAAGTTTGATATCCAATTGCCTCTTTCATACTTCAAGTTATGCAGAAAATATGCTAAATATTTTAAAGTTGAAGCAACTGTATGTACACGTCAAAAATCTCCTTTACAAGTTAAAATTTGGAAAGATATATCTAAAGATAATTTAGCTATAATGTGAAAACATATGAAGGTTAGAATAATTTTCTTAATTTAATGAAGTTGAATTTTATTTATGTATCCTAAATAATTAATATGTTTTGATATTGTTTTATTGGTTAATTTTTTAAATTTATGACTTGTAGGATGCATTATAAATGTTGGAAAAGGATAAATATCATGCAATAAAACAATTGCAAAAGCAATATAAAAATAGATATTGTCGCTTGCATCAAATATATGTTGATAATAAATGTAGAATAGAAGATGTGCATCATGGTGATTGGAATTAGATGATAAAGAATAAATATGAAATGATTCCAAATTTAGGTGAAGTTTTTTGTATTATATATTTTGAATTTAAATTTTATTTTATATGTAATTTTATGTGATGGTATAAAATATTTTATGCATTTATACAAAAAATAATCTTGAAAAATAAAGGTACTCGGACTAAACAAGAAATCAAATCAATTAATTGTCCAACAAGAATGATAATGTTGTTTTTACGTATATATGCACAAATTTTATATAATTCTTTTATATGATTTTTTATATGTCATATATACAAGTTTATTACTTGTTTATTCAAATCAAACTTTATTTAGGATACAAAAGACTTAATATTTAAGATATGTATTTGTTATTTTATTAATTTATTATTTTAAATTTATTTAATCAACTTATATTATTCTTTTATTTAATTTAACCGTGTCAACTTATTTAGAAAGAAAAAAAATTTAAAGAACAATGAATGACCAACATATCTGAGAGTATGAAAGGTTATATGCATAAGATCTAATAAAACATGGTGTAGTCTAATAGAAGAAGAAATCATGGTAAACAAAAAATAATTTAATTTATATTTTAATAGATTTAATCATAAGTTGAAATTTAAAAATTATATTTTTCTTGTTAACATTTTAAAATTTTAAGAAAATATATTATAGTGTTAGTATATTATGTTATAATGTAAATGATTTTCTCTTATTATTTTATAAAACAATTTGAAGAATGTGGGTGAGGCATAAAGAGGAACTTTGAAAAACACTTATTGGATTGAACAAAACCAATTCAGTCACAAGGAACACTACATCAACGACAAAAAAGGTTATGGAGAAATAATTTGTTTAAAATAAAAAAGCAAATGATTTAGAGAGAAATAAAAAAAATTGACTAATACTAATTTAACTCCATGGAGAATTGCAATCTCAACGTTAATTGTTTAAAGTTCAATAATTAACTATGAATCAAGATATTGAAAAAGAAATGAAACTTCAAATGACTATTGAATGGTTTATCATTCACAAAAATATTTGATGGTAAATGTTCTATTAAAAAAAAAGTAAGTTATTTTATTATTTTAAATATTTTGTAAAATATCTCTAATAATTTTAGTTATTATATTTATATTTCTAGAATATTATTAATTACTTTTTTTATTAATATTAATATTTTATTTTTTATTTTATTTTGCAGGAACTTAAAGATATACAAATTGTTATTGTTATTTTAGAAATAGTTATTTAATGGTTTGAGGTAGAATATATATAGTTTTTTATGATGTTTGAATTTAGAATCTTTGTTTACTGTGTTTTAGTTTTTATCATTTACAATGAATAATTTATGTTTGAATATTTATTTGTTGTAAGATTTTAAAAATAATTTATCTGTCCATTATGACTTTGAAATAATGAAGCAAATTTAGAAGATTTACGTATCATCATATATTTAGTAATTTTAAGAATTAATAATTACGAAAAAGTTTAATATTAAAATTATTATTATAAAAAAATATCAATAATAATAATTAATTAATTATTATCTTTATTCATATATATATATATATATTTGTGAAATTAAAAAAAAATAATAATAATTTTATAAATTATAATAATAACAAATAATATTATCCTTGTTTATATATTTGTGACATTAAATTAATAATAATATTTCTATAAATTATAAACAATAATTAACTATTATATATTTTAGATATTTGTGATATTAAAATATATTTTTTTATAAATTTTTAATAGTGATAATTTTATTTATCATTATTGTCTAATATATTTGTGATAATTTTATTATTACTACTGTTTTATATAATTATAAGTTTTAATTTTAGTGTTATTTAAAAATATTAATACAATTACATCGGTGACATGTATAATAGTGATAATTAAATAATTATTATTATAAGATATTAATAGTAATAAATTTACAATTTTTAGTAATAAATATTTATATCATTATAATTAATTTTGTTTTTAACTCCAAGAAATTCATGTTGAGGAAATTAAATATAAATATAAATTTTAATTTTAATTTTCCTTTTTTTTTTTTGAAAATCAAAACAAATGTGACTAATATTTAAGATATACAACCACTGATAAATTGGCTATATAACTTTTTTCTTTTTTTCGCGAAGTCGATCTAAAAGTTTAAAAGAATACTAAAAGGAGAGTCATAGTCACTTAGTTAATAAGAAAGCCAAAAGAATATGAAGAAAATAATTAAATGATTAAGTTTCAATAAAATTCTGTAACCATCTTTCATTCATTCTTAGATAAGTATTTTTGGAGAGTAAAAAAATTGAAAACTATGCAAAACATCATTAGACAACCTTTCAAAATGTAGATAATGAATTCTCATCCAACAAAATAGATATTAAATATATTCCATTAAAATAGATTTAAAGTAGTTTGGAGTGGAATATTATGTACTAGACTTAGTTAATTGGAGTTTTTTTTTTTTTTTAATGTTTATATAAGGTATATGGCTCCCAGAGAGAGGCTGGTAAGTAGCTAGATTAATTATTCTTCCCATAACTTGGAAATATATCTTGTCACATCATAATTAGAGTATATATAATGAAAATGATATAAGAGAATGAAGATTTTATATATATATATATATATATATATATATATATATATATATATATATATATATATATATATATATATATATAAAAGAAAACAAATTTAAGAAAATTACCTTTTTTTAAGACAAAAAACACTTCCATGTAAAAAAAAAAACTATTGAAAAATTATAAATTACAAATTTTCATATTCATTGTATTTTTTTTAAATGATTTTACAAATCTCAATTGTTGTTTCAAACATACAGCTCCAAAACAACTGAAATTTTAAAAATTCATTTTTCCAGCTCTTGCATTACCAATAGAAGAATCATCTCATTTTTTTTTTCTTTGGTTTTCATCGTCTTTCTTATTATTCCTAATACTTATTCTATTATGAATAATTGGAATCAAAAGAAAGAAAAAGGAAATGAAGCATCTTTTCTCAAATCTATTTGCTAGTAGTTCAACTGTACAAGAACTTAAAATCAATTCTCAAATATTCAAATTTGATATCCCAGGAAGACCATCAGATCCATTTTCTGTGGCCATATTATTACTACAAAACTGACATGAAATATTAGTTGGTTTGGAATGTAAGCAGTTATTAACCCGTTTCTCCAACCAAGTAAGTCTTCTCTCAAGGCTTAACACACCGATATGCAAAATCCGAATATCAACTAGTGCAATCCTGGCACAAGCCCGAAGCAAAATGTAATAATCAGCATGAGCAACATAGGTCAGGGCACCTTCATCCCTCTTTCTCACATAGTGAATATAATCCAGTCTTTTTCGCTTGACACTTGGTGGTATATAACAAAATCTGTTCTCTTCCATGTCTAATTTCATCTGCCTAATGGCTTCCTTGACTCGAGATTTACCTGAACTGTGATCACGGGAATCCGAGTCTTCTTCACCTTCTGACAAACTCTCATGTGAATTACCATCGTCCACACTTCCAGGCAAGTCATCTTCAAGGCAGGTTTCATCATCAGGAAATAGTTCATTGAAGGCTTTTTTTCTAATCTTTTCCTGCTTGCAGGTCCTGTCAATGCATTCTTTATCCTTCAACCTCGTTTGGGTAAAAGAAGTGTTTGTCTGCTCTACATTCTCCAATGGTTTTACATCCTGAAATTAAGAAAAAAGAAAAAAGTGTTACACAACATATTTTGACAGGCATTCTCGCAAGGTAGTCAGACATCAAAAACAACTCCCAGAGACTAGACATTACTAGGCAGATAGATAAAATATTTTAAAAATAATTTTATTTAATCAAATCTGCCTTGCATATCATTTAGGAGATGCTGGAATACAGATTTTATATTATATCAGTATAATATTTGGAAGAAAATATGCATACAGATTTTATATTATCATTATCTACAAAAAGTCTGCAGTCATTATATGAGCATCTATTACTTAAATATTTCATTGAAAGAATGTCAATGCACATCCCTTCACTGATTCAAATTACATATAGTTAGAGAACAATGAAACTATTACCCATGACAGCAGCAATACCAAAAATTACAGAGACAAAAAAACTAACAGAGAAGGGATATTAATAACAGAAGCATAGAGAAAGGGAAAACAACATCATTCTCTCCCTGTCCCTCCAGTACCACCAGAAAAGATTTTATACTAGGTTTCCACCAACAAAAATCCTTCAGTGTAGAGTTAGTTATGCAATTCATGGTACTCCCCTTATTTTCTTGATCATGTGTATAAGCCTCCACGTGATCATCATGATCCAATTGACTTCTCTGCACCTTCTATTCTAGCATTTGTCACCGTTGTCCTTTCTTTATTTCTTACAGAATAATTGAGCAACTCATACAGGAATCAGAAACAGGTATGCATTGATTTTGATAGTTGAAAGTAGGTCAATGTATTCAAATGATAATATGTAAAAGTAACATGTTGTTTTCTAGCAAGTTTCCCCATCAATTTCATCAAACAAACTTGTTTAAGAAATTTAAAGATAGATAGATGACTGACACTTGATTGCCCCTCATTTTTGCAGAAAAAAAGAAAAGAAATCCCTCTCTTTATTCTATCTTGTACAAATTTGATTTCAGGAAACAAGTCAGCACCAATCTTTGTGGCATTTTTATGGAATTTGATGTCATATAGGAAGTACTGATGCAGCCAGTTTATTTTTCAAGTTTCACCGGAACTCATAAACAGTCAAGCCATGTCACCATACACATAAGAGCACAGGCATAGGGGCTACTTCGTTCTTAAAATATTACAGGAAACATGTTGAAACTTGGAAGTAATTTCAAGACATCCTAATTTAAAGGCCCATGCCAATAGAATAACTAACTCAGTTCTTTAATTACCTCTTCATTCTGATAAAAATTCCATAGGTATTCTATCATATTTTCTTCCTCGTGATTCCCATAAGATGGCTCTGATCCAGCAAACACAACATCCCTACAGTATTTGAGATATGTAGGCAAGTCCTTCGAATACTCTGTTCACAAACAATGGATGTTAGATAGTCATTTAATTGTTGAAAACAATAGGGTGAAAATAGAATATTGACTGATGCAACTAAGGTTCAGTTTAGTAAGATAATAATATAAGTAAACAATGACTTCACCATAGATATCCCCAATCTCATTATATCTTGCTTGAAGGTGTTGGAGAAGCCAGGCAGAATCCAACTCGTGCCTTTGAGGTCCTACTTGATCTTCAGCTGAATCTTTAGATTCTTTACCAAAATCATCATCATTACGAGACAAACTCTTCTCCCACTCTCCAAAGCCATTTATGTTATATAATATCCTTATTGCTACTACTAGAATTGACATAACGCATACATGAGTAGGTAGCCTAAAATAATTGGTTGATAGGGATAGCCACAATTCTGGAGGCATTGACCATTCATATATGCGACATGCATAAGGAAGAATCTTTTCAATAGGAAGTGATAATTTTTTAAGATAAAGATAAGCTATTGCATAAAAGTTAACAGGAGGTAACTCCAAGCCTATGAACTGAGCAATGGATGCAGCAAATGACTCTAGCTTCTGTACGGGAACAGCTCTCTGGGGCCTGAACATAACACTTGAACTAATAGGACAAGCACTTGAAGGTTGTCCTATGCGCTTTTCAATTTCAACAAAAGCAGAAAAATATGGAAGCTTCCCTTCCCGTGTCCACTTCATCATGTCAGATGGCAGGATAGCTTCCCTGGCAACATGGCATGCAAGAAATGAAACAGCAACAGTACAAGATAGTGGAATCCTTTTCTTTAGAGACCTAAACCATATCATCACAGCTCGCTGACCAAATATATTGTGGGGCTCTGTTCTGTGTTCAGCACGTGGCTTATAATCTTCTGGTTCATCTAAGACCAATGAAGAAATAAACTCAATAAACTATATGATATAGTTGATGAAAATAAAGCATCTCGTTCTGAGTGCTGAAAAACTATAGTACACACTTGATAAACATGAAAGATTAGTATAAAATTGTCAAGCTCATCCTCATACTCTATTGATTAAAAAGTAAATTTGATATCAGCCAAACCAAAACTTAACGAAGATCAAATTGAGTTGTAACTAATCATATAAAATATGCTAGAGAAAGTAAACACTTTAGTTAATTATCAGGTTTCATTAAATTTTGAAAGAAACAGAAAGCTTTACTGAAAGTTTTCATGAACAAGACACATTAATGCCCCACATATATTACAAGCAAAATAAAGCAAGAATGGGAACATCCTTTTCAATCCTGAAAAAGGAACATGCATCAAAACCTATATAGGAAAATTGACTGGAATATACAGAATCAAACCATGAAATAAAAGGGAGCACCTGTAATGTAATTTAAATGTAGAAATAGAAGACAGGAAACTTTATGTTACCTTCTTTCTGCATCTCCGAGTTATGGATTACTTTATCAGCCCAGTCATCATCGAAAACACCAGTCCTAGAGACAAACCTCAACCAAATTGGCCCAACCAAGCCACAAATTAAAGGGGTAACCTTAAACTCCTGCACCAACGCTTCACACTGAAGCTCAATCATTATCTGCAACCCCATCACATACCGCATCCTTATCTCATTGTGGTAATCTTCATAACTTGCAACATTTAAGCCTCCAAAATCTGCAGGAACTGAAGGACTTGCATCAATAAACTGATCGGCATCAAATTCCTCTCCTTTAACTTGAGCATGCTCATTTTGTTGAGGAGTTTCATCTTCTAAACCCAGAGTCTTAATGAAATTGGACTGGGAATCATAGAAGGAGTCATACTGAGATATGGGTTCAGCTTTGATTGCAGCAGGTCGTTGGCGTTGGTGACTGGCCAAGTAGACAGCACCACCGCCAGTTTCTCCCTTATTGAAGAGATCATCATCATCAACGGCAGTGTCCATTACATCCTCATATTGAGAGCCACATCGAAGGCAGTAAAAAAAGCCATCAGAGCCATCACCAAGACCCACATTGTTACAGGTTTGACAAGTCAACTTATGGACATCAACCATTGCTGGGATAAATCCTGTGCTGAATACTAACAGCTACAAATTCCAGTATTATTCTGAACCTGTGTGAGAGGCAATGGTCAGGTATATGTCAACAGATAAAGAAGGAAAATAAATAAATGATAAAGAACACTTTCAAATCTAGTGACTAACTGGTCGGCTACAACATGACTGATTTTCGTTTCACTCCAGTACCACATCACTGTCAAATTGGAAGATACAGTAGAAACTTGTAGAGTGTAACTTAAAAATAGCTTAAAAATAATTTTAAAAACACTTGACAGTTTCTTTAGAAAATTGTTTAGTAATTCAAAATTATCTATTTGTATCAATAATTCAGCTATGCCTATCTTGTTAAGAATCCAAATGTGATTCTAAGTTCCACATTGTGTAAGAATGAGAAAATTCGAGGGGATATATCAATGTGAAGGAATTCACACTTGAGGGGGAAATTGTTGGGAATCCAAAGGTGATTCTAAGTTCTACATTGTGTAATAATAAGAAAATTGAGCAACATATAAAGAAGTATGACCCATAATCTAATGTCTTAAGGTTTGAGTTGAGAGTGGTGACAATCTTTATGTAGGTTGGGTTTATATCTCATTGTTGTGTTGTCTCTTCCGATGAATACTCCTCAAAAGACCCAACAAATGATATCAGAGTCGAAGATTAATCGGCAGTGGATCAGAGTGGTCTTTGTATCAAAAGTCTTCTTGACAGAGTAGATCAGGTAAGTGTGTCCCGTTAGGGTGAACGACGGTAGATGGAAGCTCGAAGGAATGTACATGAATTTAAATTTAAATTTACATTTGAGGGAGAGATCGTTGGAAATCCAGATGTGGTTCTAAATTCCACATTATGTAAAAATGATAAAGTTGAACAACATATAAGGAAATATGACCCATAACCCAATGCCTTAAGATTTTGGGTTGAGAGTGGTGTCAATTTGGACTCCTGTCACATTGTTAGGTTGTCTCTTCCCAGGCAATCCCCTCAAAAGATTTAACATATCTGATATTATAATCAATCCCGTAGCGGGAATTCCTATTAAAACACTACACATGCATACGTCTAGAACATTAGGCTAAAAATTTAATAATTCAGTAGCGCATATCTGATTCTATAACCTATTTTACATAACCATTCATACAAAATATAAAGCTGGATAACAATTTCTATCGTATTTAGTTTAAGCCAACCTCATATTCTACTTCAACAGGAACGCAATCAAGGGAATATATATTGGCTGTTGATATTCCATATATCAAACACCCTCATCCAACTCCAACCATCCACTTCATACTCTATCAATAGATTCACCTTTTTTTCTTATCATTATTATTGAAAACTGCCACCTCCTCTGTTTCTAACTATCATAGTAAAATAGGAGAAAAGATATTCTAGCATACAAGAAAAAGAAGCTTAATATGAAACAATATACAGGATTTAGGGTTCACTCCGAAAGTCTTAACAGAGTAGGGTTGGATTGGAGAAACAGCGGGTAAATGATGGAATGGAAGTGATGCTGAAGATTTTACAGAGAATGCGAACAGAAAAGGTATTATAGAACCATACACGAGTGAATGAAATATGGAACTAAGAAAAACCCTACCTTTGCTTTTATCAACTCAACAAACCCACCGATCACCGTGAGCGAACAAGATGGCAAATGCTGTGTTTTTGTTCAAATTCAAACTCATTCCATTGTAAGTACGGGAATCTTCAATTGCTTTTAAAAAAAATGTTTTTACATTTTTCAATTGTTGTTTCAAACATACAGCTCCAAAAAATACACAATTTTTTTAAAATTCATTTTCCCAGCTCTAAATTTTTATTTGTGTGTTTATATATTTATTTAAATTATCTTTTAAGTATCTATTTAATTATTTTTTAATATTTTATACATTTGATTTTTAAATATCTTCGGATATATTTGTTGTCATCCTTGAAATAAATTAAATACATTCAAATCGAGTTTTATTATAACCCGTCAAAAGGAAATAACTTTTTTTTACATATTATAAAATAAAAACAATTATTAATTTATTCAATAAACTTACGTAAACATGACTGTTTTTACAATTTATTTTTTATTTGTCTAAGAAATTAACTTTCATATTCGCATACTTTAAATAATTAAAATTAGTATCGAATTAAATAACATTCAAAACTATTTAAACAATTAAACCATTCAAATTTGGATATACATAACAAAACAAAAATATACAAAACTTTAATTAATTGAATTATCATAAAAAATAACTCTTGTATCTATCCGTATGAAAGATAATAAAATATATTTAAATGTTTTATAAATTAATTATTGTTAATAAATGCAGTTATATAAAAGATAAATTTAAAATAAAGATAGATTCACAATCTATAGTTAAAAATACAATTAGATGGCAACAGTTTATTTTATATTTACTTTTATTTTAATTATTATTTCATTTATTATGTATTATTATATCAATATAACATAGTTAATTGGATTACTTTTTTTCAAACTATTGTGAATTAACTATTTTTCTAAAATTTAATAACTTAACATTTATTTATTTTTATTACGATATTAATTATACTAAATCTTCGTAAATAATAATTATTATATATCATTATTCATCTATGTAAAAAAAACTATATAACTTCAGTTTGTTTGTATTTTACTATTCTTTTTTCCGTACTCTTTCAATACCAAAATAATTTAAATATGTTCTTTAACGTTGTCATAAATAATTATAATTTTAATATTTTTAAATTTTATCTGTAATATATTTTTATGATTTTTTTAATCATAAATTTTTATTATATAACTTGTGTTTTTTTTTTATTTTTAATTAATTAAATTTATTTATATTTGAACTTTTAAATAGATATGTATGTTTAGATTTTAATAAAATCAAATTAATATGCATATATATAATTAAAGTAAAATTATAACTTTTAAAAAAAAAATATATATATATATATATATATATATATATATATATATATATATATATATATATATATATATATATATATATATATATGAAAAGAAACTAAAATAGGAGGAAGAACAAAATTAAAATTTATGCCTTCCCAAAGGTTCTTTTGTTTGACACGGGACAGAACTTGGGAAAGGGAATCATGTGGAGTAATCAGCAATTGTTAGGGACAAGATAACCTTTGCATGGATTCACAGAGAGTCATGGCTCTCACCCTCACACACTCCACATTCCTTCCTTCTTCTTCCATTTCATACCTTCACCCTTCCATTTCACACTATTTTCATCTTCATACTCTTTCAAAACCTTTCCTTCTTTCACACACCAAAATCTCAATCTCCCCGCTCTCCAAAACCCTATATCTTTGTGCATCACCATCCAACACCGCACACCTTTCACCAACCCCCATTTTCCTCCCATATCTCCAACAAGAACCAGAACCAGAAGAACAAGAGGTCATAGAAACAATAGAAGAAGAGGAAAAAGAACCAGCTCATGACCCAGATGATCCAATCTACAAATTCTTCAAAACCCGCAGTAGGGTTTCCTTCCAAGACCCTGGAAAAGAAGGAAGGTTGTCGCTTCAGAAGAACCGTCGCATATCATGGCACCTTGCTTCTGACACCAGTGACCTTGTTGAAGAAGAATTTGAAACGAGTTTGGAGGGTGGTTCCTTGTTGGTTGAAAAAAGGAAAGAAATGGTGTGTGAGAAAAAGGGTTTGCCTTTACCTGAGGGGATTGTGGGGGAGATTGTTCAGCTTGCAAGGAACTTGCCACAGAATCTTACACTGGAGGAGGGTTTGGTGGAATATGAAGGAAGAGTTAGTGAGAAAGAGTGTTGGGAGGTTTTAAAATCACTTGGGGAGGAGCACCTTCTGGTGTCTTGTTTATATTTCTTTCAGTGGATGAGGTCGCAGGAACCTTCACTTGTTACACCTCGGGCTTGCACTGTGTTGTTTCCTTTGTTGGGAAAGGCAAGGATGGCTGATAAGTTGATGGTTTTGTTCTCAAACTTACCATCCACCAAGGAGTTCAGAGATGCTCATGTTTACAATGCCGCAATTTCAGGCCTTCTTTCAAGTGGCAGGTAAAAATTTTGTGCAAAGTCACGTCCTTTGCTTGTTTTTTCTCTTGCTGCTTTAGTGTGAATCCTGGGAAAGATTAACAAAGGATGCAAACGCAAGTCACATAGTTTGTTAATTTTGCTTAGGTAGAATGATACACATTTAATTAATTAACTTGTTTACTAGTTCATTTGTTTCACTGTTATAATTATTGTAATGATCATGAAAAATAAGGAAATGAACAATGTGCTACTTGTTATCTAAGCTGTGGTATAAACCATGCCCTTTCTTAATTATGTTTCAACTCAACACTAGAAACGACTTATTGTATCATCTTTACCTAGAATTAGGATCAATGATGACATTAAGCTAGACAATGTTATGACATGAATTTTAACTGTACTAGCACATCAGTTTTGGCATGGAGTTCATGTGGTTGTGCATATTCTATGCAACTTCTCTTGATGGACTATACTTTGGTTTCATAGATATATATGTAATAGAGTTAGGCAAACTTTGCTACTGTATTTTATCCTTCAAAGGTGGACTGGGATTATATTGTTTTGTAAATGACTTTATTTTATAAAATGTTTCAGTATTTTTATTCCAGATGTCCAATTGCGAAAAATATATAATTCAATTTGTTTAGGTAAAATATCCTTTCCATTGACTGAAACAATCCCTAGTCTCTTCATACCAGTTCAGTTTTCCATTAATGCAGATGGATTGAAATCCTTTCTTTTTCCTGTTGGGCTTGTCTTGTCCTTATTAAGAATCCTATGAACAGCTATGAAATCTATTAAACTCCATTGGTACTTGTCAGAGAATTAAGATGTTACAAATTACCTCTGTTGTATTGGTTCCCCTTCTTCAAACTTAAAACTGTGAAAAAGTAAATATTATTCATGATTAAGATATTTAATTATCGAATGAAAAACAATGTAAAACAACC